AAAAATGGGATCGAACTCTAAAGGAAAACAAAACAAAACAAAAAATGACACTGTATTACAATCATAAATAATATATTGTGTGTGACCTTTCACAGAAAGAAAATTAATACTGTGTAAAAGACACTAAAATTGATACATTGAAAGAAAATATCAATGTCTCATCACGTTATCTCCACTGTGTTCAAAACGCATCACTGATTTACAAAAATATATCATCTTGTTTGCAGAATGTCAACGACACGGTTGACAAAATAGATTTGTGACGTCATTCTCACGATTAGATCAATTTATAGAAATAAATATACTCTACCGCCATGTGGTGAACACAAAACTCTCAACATTACCGGTACTTCTTTAATACAGACACGATACACAAAAACAATTTGACATCTCCTAGAACAAGTGTGACTTCAACAAAACTTTGAAGACAACAACAGATAAGGCTTACAGGAACATGTATCTTACTTCAAGTCTAGTGATAGGTTATTCCAAAGCTTTGGATCAGCGCAAATTTCCAAGAGTTACTTTTGTTTTTGTGTGAGGTAGCTTCAGAAGTACATGTTTAAAAAAAAAATGCATATGCTCAATTTTGAAGGCAGAATGAGCGATTTGAAACGCTCATCGTAATCGCAGTTCCACGGTGTACTGTTTATGCTCACTTCTCTGGCTCCTCCAGACATGATTCAGGCTCAGAGCCAGAATCATGCCTGGAGAAGTGCAGTGCAGAGTCTGCACTGCGCATATTACGTTGACCCCATTTAAACGTGTTTACAAATGATTGTGCGTTTATGCTTCCCCAGAATCGCCGATCCAAAACGCACCTTTTTGTGAGTTTACGATCGCCGTTTTTCTGTGATTCTACAAAAATGAGTAAGGACGCAACCGTGTTTTGAACGAAACGCGTAACAAATGCCTCATTCTGGCCAGAAAAAGTTGAGCATAAACGTACCCTATAAGTATACCATAGAATTCATTTTAAGAGCATTTGTGACTCGATCTCTATCTTCACTCCATATTCATGCAATATTGAGACACAGTACATGTACGCCTAGATAGGTTCACAATTTCACACTCCGGTGAATTGTCTAATACCCTGCTCATAACAGCACAAACGCAAGGTAAAATTGAAGTCGTGCTAGACCATCTAACATGACTTAAGGTAACCTCCCGAGGTTATGCTGTATATAATTCAAAATTCAAATACAAAATTTCACAATTATACATTTTCCATATAATAACAGTCTTTTTACGTGCCTGCATAACACTTGTATACCCATCTCATGGTGTCTACTGTGAAACTGCAATACAAACTTTTAGGCATCAGTATGATACATACAATTCATCAGGTTAAGAATTTCCAGAAACATTACAATCATGTAGATTGTCGATGTACAATGTGCATGTTACTAACTCTATACCGGTACACTGTTCTCATCAGTATTTCCAAAGAGATACCAGCTATATCCTCCTTGGTATTTCAGCTAACAATACGTATAATGTACACGTCCATATATTTTATATGTAAGACACTTCCAGTGTATAACTTTTAAACCCTGCGTAATGTACATTATAATCATGTAATTGGCTTCATTGTACTTTGACATATCTAGCTACAGTGTATCCCTATTACTATTCCTAATCCTATACTCTATTGAAACAAACATTAGGCGCATCTTCATCATCTCGAGATTGCCAAATAGCCCGCTGCTTCTGAGTTGGGAAATAATCCTGAAGTTACAAATCGCGTCCTCATCAGCTCGAGATTCGACCTAGAAACTTGAAACTCGACCTTGAGAAATTAGCTTGAGATATTTTTCTCAGCATTAGCCCGTAGTGCGAGTCTTCGGTCCGGTGAAGACGCACCGGACAAATAGCTGGATATTTTGCCAAATAGTGGGATATTTTGCAAACTATCCCAAGATATCTTGGGATGACAATCCTGACCAAATATCCCCCTAATTGCTACTTCGGTCTGATGAAGACGCAAATTAGCTGGATAGTCTACGATCGGGATAGTTCAAATAGCTGGGTATTTGGCAATCTCGAGATAGTGAAAACAGGCCTATTGAGATCCAACCGCATACACTAAAGCCCACTACACACTTTACAATTCTACTGCCATCAGATTTTTGAAGAAAAGCATCATCTTCCTGATTTAAGATGTCAATAATGACATATTGTAAAATACTAACAACCTGAATTTTCATGCAGAACTCTCGAGTCAATATAAAAGCTGGATCATAGACGATTGCACTAATAAGCCGATTCTAATTGCTAATTTAGCTTTCCTGCAACAAGGAGGCTTGCAATGGCCAAAATATTTAGTTTTCCTGCCACACGGAGGCTTGCAATGGCCAAAATATGTAGTTTCCATGCTCATATGACTATTTAGAACCCTGATAATTTGGTTTGTCATTAAATATTCATATCTAATGCTATTGCAAGTCTTCCAAGACCGGATCGCAGTCAGATTGTACAGTGAGCGGTGGGCTTTAAGAGATTCGGTATGATATTTTAACTATCACTCTGTACAGTGTACCTATGTAATAATTACTTTACATTAACTCCATGGAAAATCTACCACACACAATTTTGAAAGAGAAAAATAGTACTTTGAATTTCACTTCATGTGAAGTATCTTTAAGACCTTCTGGCCTATAAAAACAGCAAATTCTTTTACCTTGCCTTCTAGTAATCGTCATTCAAAATGAGATGGGGGGGGGGGGGGGGGGGGGGGAGGGGTGTTTCACAAAGATCCTTAGTCGAACTTACATGTACTGTAACTCTAAGTTGGACTTAAAAATGATGGAGAGCCATTTGTAGCCTCATAATAAAATATGTTCAAAAGCAAAAATTCAAGTATTTCAGACTTTTCATGAATTCCACATCAAGAACATGAGATCTCCCATTAAAATAGAAAATATGGATGATTTGAATCAACATGTTATGCCTTTTAAAATAACTTTTACAAAATATTTTCAAGGATGCTAACGGCTTTCCATAGTTGTTAAGTCCAACTTAGAGATGAGTTCAACTTAGCATCTTTGTGAAACACCCCCAGATCTTTTCAATATGTTTGACCATGTGTTTTTCTATTATTTCTCTTTCTATGTACTGGTTCGCATATTAAGTACAATAGTATGATAATTTGTATTTATCAGTATATATTACAAGTTCAATCATTGCACATACAGCATAAATTGGTAGAATTTCAGAATATATTTCAAAATATACTTTTACATCAACATCACAAACAAAACTAAAGTTGTCCTGCACATATAATTTGTATATTCACACTACATCATAGTTAAGGTCAAAGAACAAACAACTCTTATACTAGACAATACAAGTACAAACAAAACTGGATATTAAATTTATAACGATTGATCAATTTTCCAATTTTCAACACAGTGCACACATTACATTCCACACTGCTTATATACAGTGTCATTTTGATGCGAAGACTTTTTCAACTATCAAACTATCATCTCATATTTCAGCAAAATTACTTCATTTTTTTTAGATATCGAGGCTTGTTTATGGGTTTCCTTTAATTGTATTGACTAATTTTATTATTTACTTTTAAAATTGAGATGATTGGTCTTTAGGGCCATTCCATGAGAAGAAGGACATGACATCAAAAAAAGAAATGTACCTCTTATGTTAATTCTTTGATTTATCACTAACCTTATGCCATGGATGTTCATAAAACATTAGGGCCTTTCAAATTCAATACAATTTTTTTTTCATTTTTGTTGATTTCCTAAGATCTCAAACTATCATCAAAAACGTACATGTGGGACTGTAGCTGAAAAAAAACAATTTATTGCGGATTACACAGGATTCTTGTAATATTTTTTCCTGAAAATTTCGCTAAATGGAAAAAGATGAATATATTTCCATATTCTAAGGGGTCCTGTGATATTTAATCTATTACATAGGGGTGAAAATGGCCTCCGGACAAAATGTAACGCGAGTTACCGTAACGTGAGTTACCGACATATTTGCTTCCTGCATTTTACTAGTCCATTGTTTCTTATCTTTAATATTGTGATCTTATACTAGTAAGTCACAACCTACTATCAAATTAAAGTAGGAAAGATTTTGTCAAGATTGTCTAGTATGAGGAGAAAAGAGGGTCTCGTAGAATTGACCATGTCCTTTTTTTGTAACGCGAGTTACCGAAATTCAATAATCCAAGAATCTAAAAATGTTTGTTCTTCAATTTTCTTTTTTGTTTCATTCAGTTGTTCTATATCTACCCTGTCCATGTTTGAAAAAAGTATCTTGTAGATCCTAGCAGTTCTAAAGATATAGGCACATTATCGTGTCAATGTACCCATTAAGTGTAACGCGAGTTACCATGGAATGGCCCTTTACATGTTTGTGAATGTTTGAAAATTTGCAAGTACGGTACCCAAACTGACATTTATGATTTTTTACTTTAAAGAGTCTTCATTTATTAAAGGAATTAAAATTGTTTCCTTTGCTCACTTCCGTTTGGTGGACAAACATATTGGAGAACACCTGTTAACAGAAATATTTCCATTCGTGATCATATCGTGATCAAATCGATTGCTTTTATTCTAAAAATAACACTTTTTTCTCCTAGACGTTTAATTCTAAACATGTTCCACCTGATCAATAAGAGAATACGAACAATGAATATGATTCCAGACATGAAACAGACAAGGACATTTGACAAACACGTTTCCAGCCTTGACATATTATTAACTCCTCACCTACCGGGATTGAATTTGAATGGCTTCTGTATAATAGCCTATGCCATGGGAATGATACAATGCAACATGTGACATGTTGCTACATGTACAAGATATAAAGTACCTCAGCAACATATACGGTAGTATTAATCCCTCACCTACATGAATTGAATTTGAATGGCTACAGCATTAAAGATAGAGGTGAGTTATGGTCATCCGATTGCATTGTGAAAGAAACGTTGTGGAACGATCATAAAAGGTTGATCATCTAGCATATAAGTATTTGTGTGTACTGCAAGGTTCTGGAATCATCAAAATGATAAGAAATTTGGCCTAGTCTTGATAAAGTTACAAGCACTGTACACAGAAAGATGTATATGGTACTACACGAACATATGGCATAAAAAAATCTGTCCCGATTTGTATGATGTTACATGCCATATTTAGAATATTAAAGCATTTGAAGAGCCATGCTTTTCAGATAACATATTTTCTCTGATTTTCTTCCACACTTGCACAATACAATGTTAACGCTCCACAACGTTTGTTGGCCATTGGGGAAAGGTAATCTGTGTTCTTTTGTCTGGGATTGGTCTCCTTCTTGCGACAGGAGTATAACGTGTGCATAACTCTCCAAAAAGTCAAATTATAGGGAGATTTAAATAACTAATTAAAATACATTTTAGTATATTTTCTTTTCTTTTTAGGAATGCTGTTCAAATAAATCTAACTTGGATGTATTCAATTCAATTCAATTTTATTTCATTCAGTTAAAACGACAACATTTCATATAACAATCAGCTATATATCACATAAAATACACATTGTGAACATATTTGACAAGGACATAAAATAAACTGAATAGGTTGCAACCTGAAAGGAAACATAATCCTTATATAAAGGTAGACCCTTTTTTTATGATAAAAAATATGAAATATATGTATCTTCATACTTTAATGTGTGATGCCGGAGTTCTTCATAGCTTGGAGCAGTTCCCGGATCCGACCCGGACGTCCCGCAACGTCAGACAAGTTTGATGAAACGGGGCCAAGTCTCAACTCACGATTGACAAGGTATCCTGGACGAGTGGTTATGTCACCGGACTGTGGATCACAAGATCGGCGGTTCAAGTCCCACCGCGGCACTCATGTCCTTTGGCAAGACATTGATCTACATTTGCCACTCTCTACCCAGGTGTGAAATGGGTACCCGGTAGGATGCGAAAGCTAATGTAATTGGATTAGCAAGTGTGTGCTCGTAAAATGATGCCCGGCTGGAACGCTCCCTAGGGAGCGGAGAATGTACATGCGCTGTGGGCGGGTAAGCCTGAATCCGATGACCGGGGTAATAATATATATATATATCTGTAAAGCGCTTTGAGAGGTCCTTCGGTCCTGAAAAGCGCTATATAAGAACTAGCTATTATCATTATTTTTGCGAGAGGTATACCTTAGTAATCCTCCAGCATATCCTCTAGGTTTGAATACTTCCTGTGACCGAGCTGACCTGCGACCTGAGTAAAGACCAAGTGCTCCTTGATGAGATGAGAGAGACGCTCCAGCTCCGAGAGCTTGAGGAGGAGCCTCCCTATCTTCATGCTCGCTGAGATGCCTTCCCTCGCCATGCCCAGGTCAAAGAGATGCTCCTGCACTTTCTCCTGGTAACTGCGTATCCTTGAAGGCTGAGAGAGGTTTTTCACATCTGGAGGATGCAAAGAAAAAACAATTCAATTCAATTCAATTCAAAGTTTATTCAACACTCTCCATAATTAAAAACATTTAAAACATACAATTACAGAATGGAATGATAAAAAACAAAATAGTGATAACAAATAACAATGGCAATTTATGAGAGCATTTGGAATAGGCAGAAAGGAAGGACTCTTTATATGAAAGCCTACCCCTAAAACACAAGAGTTGCTCCAGATTAGTTTACATGCATATGGACATATACACATTGAAAATGCATAAAGCACAGACGATTTGAAGAAGGGAGTGTTTTTACATGGGGAAGATGCAATAGGCCTGTTTTCACTATCTCGAGATTGCCAAATATCCAGCTATTTGAACTATCCCGATCGCAAACTATCCAGCTAATTTGCATCTTCATCAGACCGAAGTAGCAATTAGAAGGATATTTGGTCGGGATTGTCATCCCAAGATATCTTGGGATAGTTTGCAAAATATCCAGCTATTTGTCCTGTGCGTCTTCATTAGACCGAAGATTCGCAACATGCGCTAACGCTGAGCAAAATATCTCGAGCTAATTTCTCAAGGTCGAGTTTCAAGTTTCGAGGTCGAATCTCGAGATAGTGAAGACGCGATTTGTTACTTTGGGATTATTTCCCAAATAGCGGGCTATTTGGCAATCTCGAGATATTTGGCAATCTCGAGATGATGAAGACGCGCCTAATGAAACATACTCATGTTCCAAGGATCCATAAACATAAAAGATGTGTAAGTACACCCTGTAGTGCAGTGGGCTTTCTAAGGGGGTGTAGCATGGCAAATACTGGTTAACGCAATCAACTACTTCTTTTGGACAACTGGTGGTAAACAAATGGACTTGATTAACGGTCAGCGCACGCTAGCGTTCGCGAAACAGACCAAAGTTCTCCTCACTTTTCGGAATCGCGTACATGTATGTTGCACGCACGTGAATACCTGAGTCAGGCCACTGGAAAACAAATAGTCTTGTAAGTTGTAATGCTACACCCATTTTACCCTAATAAGGCCGGGGGGGGGGGGGGGGCATTATTCCCCCCCCCCCCCAGATTTTTTCTGATTGTTCGGGAACGCATACGGATGAGGCCCTGCTGCTCGCTGACTTTTTTCTTTCGAGTCTTGCATACATGTGTATCTTTTAAAACAATTTTTTTGAAAATTGGACATACTGTACAGTTACAAAGTCACATGACCTTTTGTCATTGCATGTCAGCTCGAAAATTGCTCATTTTTTAGATTTGTGTACAAAACATATATATGGAAATGTCATTTTTCCTAAAAAGAAATAAAACAATGGTTATTTGGTCTTTTTTAAAGATTAGGTGGTTGTTTTGGGGGTCAAAATAGTTGAATTGTAGTTAAAAATGAAATAAAACAACAAAAACAATAAAATACGTAAGTTAAAAAAAACAAAGAAATACATAAGAAATTATCAAGTCAAAAGATAAAATAAGAAAATTTTTGTTCTATTATTGTTCCAAATGGTCTAACAAATATATGTTGTAAAAAAGAATGCTTGAATATGAAGAATATATGATTTTGGCGTAAAAATGTGTATTTTATGACCTTAATTGCATTAGTTATCATAAATATGCAAATGAGTGAATTTTTCAAAAAATTGAATTTACCATAGTATTTGATACACAGCTTCACTTGACATGCGTGCACATTTTTGCCGCGACAAGCCTTTTCATGGCCGAGAGCATTATGCCCCCCCCCCCCAGTACTTGAAAGATCTCAAATACCCCGGCCTCATCAGGGTTAAGGTTTTATTAAACCTTCTCTTCTTCATCCTTTTTTTGCATCATCATCTTATCATGCGTAATATTGGAAATGTGATGTTCTTTGATATTATAAATGTGTAATCACATGTAACGGATAGTTTTTAATCTGTGCTACATGAGGACTATAATAATAGTGAACATTTATAATGCGCCATGTCTGTCAAAAATGACACTCCTGGCGCAGTTGTGTTACTAGGCAAACTAAATGCAAAATTACATAAAACAATTATTGTACCTCACAGATGTTAAAATAATGCCAGTCTAACATCTGCACTCCTAATTTCTTTTCTACAAACTCTTTCCAAATTTTCAAAACAAACAATTTGGCCTTCTGCTATTAATTGTCCAGTGATTTCAGTACCATCAGAAGCAAATCTATTCTATTCTCAAGTTGTTTGGTATTTTGTACACACAGACCCTTGACTGTTGTTGTGCGTAACAGTGCCTGCACTATGAGACTACACCAGGCTCTGTACCTTAAAGATAATATGTCCCTTTTGCAATCAACATCAAATTGTGTAGAACTATGCAGGAATTATGAATATGTCATGTTTGTCCAATCTGTGAAATTTAAACGTTAGCAGTGTCCTAATATTCAAATTATGCAAGTAAACGGGTAGACTTTACTGTCAGACACTATTGAGTGACTGACTGGCTTCTTTTTCTTCTTTGGTGATAACATACATAAAATGAGCTGTAAAGGATACATGAGCATTTGTCTACAGTCAATAACCCACTTCTTGTAATGGCCAAAATTAATCTGATTGAATCTTTGCACAGCATAAAATGTACGACCATTCAGTACCAAAAAAAAAAAAGAAATTAGAGATAATTTTGTACACAGCAAATGGGAGAGTTATCCACGTCCTACGTCACAACACAATACCAAACTTCCAATAGTGATCTCATGTTTTAACATTCACAACTTCCTTACTATTGGTGCAATTCATTTCAAACTTTAGCCATTGTGTACCGGTATTTTTTCTGCTTTCATTCAAATCAACTTATTACAAGGGTTGGATTGCCCTTTAAGAAATTGTGATAAAGTGTCAAATTTAAGTCTGTGCTTGTAGACTAGCTATTTGGATAGGTTGTATGATTTCAGTAATATCAGGAGCTATAATTCTAGTGGTTGGTTTACAGGCTGTACGCAGGGGGGGGGGGGGGGGGGGGGGGACCTAAACAAAGAATAGACAAAACCTTCAATTCAAACATGAATCTCTGCGGGGGGTCTATGACGGACTTGTGTGAAAAAAAAGTAGGAACAAAAGCTGTTCCCATCATTATCATGATAACAGCAATCATCCTTTGTTTTCTTTCCATGATTTTCTCATTAAAATTGAATTCACAAGGACAAAGAACACCATACGTTGGCCTCATTAAGATGCGAGAAAAGCATTACAAGTGTAGAATAAGGTACATGTGAAATAAAAGATGGGTTATTCTATTAAATACGGCCTATTATGATGATACTTTCTTTGTTTTCTTTCCATGATTTTCTCATTAAAATTGCATTCCCTAGGACAAAGAACACCATATTTTGGCCTCATTTAGATGCGAGGGGCAAAGCTTTACAAGTGTAGAATACATGTACAATACAGCCTATTATGATGACGATTTCTTGATCATCATTTCTTATTCATCATTTCTTGATCATCATTTCTTGGTCATGATTTCTTATTCATGATTTCTTGATCATGATTTCTTATTCATGATGTCTTATTCATGATTACTTGATCATGATTTCTTGATCATAATTTCTCAATCATGATTTCGTGATCATGTGGATCACAATTTTTTTCTTAATCACGATTTCTTGATCATGACTTCTTGTTCATTGTATACTCAAACAAAACCCAAGGTTTTTTTTTCTATGCTAAATTGGGATAGCTAAACGTATACCGGTATCTAAAATCTACCGATATCTGTGAAATAAATATTAATAAGTGCTTAATTCATCCAATCCAAATTTGATGCAAAAATATATTTGATATACCGGTAGCACTTTTCTTTGTAGTTACAAAATTGCTCCACACTTTCGGGACATCAAATAATAAAATCACAAAAGCAGAATTTTATCAACTTCAAATGAGAAAATGTCTGTCATCTGTTGCTACCTAAAGGATTTGAGTCATGTTGCTACTTAAAGGATTTGAGTCATGTCTCGCTGTACTTGTATAGTATAAAGTAACAACAACACAAATCTGTTCATGGGAGCTTTAAACAAAAAATAAGTCCAATTTTCTTCTCATAATGATATTAAATTTTTCTCATTTATTAATTTTGTTGTATTTTTAAACAAAGCTCTTTATCAATTCACCAGCGCTTTTTGGAGCTTTTGAGAGCTAAGTAGTTCTCTGCTCTGATGTATTTTATTCGCTGATTCATAGATATCTTTAAAGAACTATATCACTGTGAATTTAAGTGATCCTTTTTAGTGGTAAAGCGAATAGATTTAAAAGAGGACATTTAAAAACAAAATAATGACCAACATAACATATCAATATCATGTTTGTTAATAATTAATCTTCATATCTTTATTCTAGTTGTACATGAATGTATTTTAGCTTTTTATTACTGTAATGTGACCAAATAAAGGTCGATGCAAGACAAATAATCAAAACTTGCCTCTGTCCCATCTAGTGCTGTAGCCGAACCGCCGAACCGAACGGAAGTTCGCCGAACATGGCACTTCCGAACCGAACCGAACCGAACCGAACACAAAGGCCTGGTTCGGATGTTCGGCAGAAAAATGTTAACGTTTTTGCAAGCTAATAAACTTGTCAATTTTGTACCTAATTTTCATGTCATGATTGCTCATTTTATATTTACTTTTTCCCCATTTTCTGCCTTTGAGATTTATGCCTATCCAGTGGTGGGCACGACTTCACTGGCGCCATTTAAATCCCAAATCCTGACCACGCTACGTCGCGATCGCAAGCCATAAACAAGAATACATGTGGCATTTGCGTGATCAAAACAAGTTCAGCTCAAACCCATTCAAATTAATATTTTAATTGTAACAATATCGGACAAATTTTACAATATAAATATTGAAATAAATATTCAATTCAGTATGGTATTTATTTATTCAGGAAAAATAGGGATTTTATATTTTTCCTATTGAAAATAAAATCTTATAAAAAACAGTTATTGACGAGCCTGAATTCTCTATTCAAGATGGCAGCTTTCATGACTCTAACATTAGACAACAACCGTCTCGGAAAATCTTGAAAAAATATCATTTATTGACAAATTGAAACCATGATTCTTTTAAAATTGAAAATAAAACACGATTCAAGACGGAAATACAAATGTAAGTAGCATTTTTCTTCACAAATAATTACGTTTAGAGCAGTTATTTAATGTGAAATTCGTGCTGGTCGGTGGCAGTGTGCAGAAGTCCTCCGTGCTGGTCGGGCCCGGCAGGCCGGGCGGCCCGCCCAGTGGCGACCGCCGTGGCTATAACGCTGCTTGCCATAATATTACCGAACCCCGAACCGAACCAAGTTCGGGTGAAATATTGCCGAACTCTGCCGAACCGAACCGAACACGAACATAGCGTCTGACTTACAGCACTAGTCCCATCTCTCTCTCTCTCTCTCTCTCTCTCCCTTCTCTCCCTCTTTATAGAGCTGAGTGATAAAAAAAATTAAGGTTTTCGTTCTATAATCTTGAAATGTATTTTCTTATTAAATATCAATATGCTTTTTGAATTTTCAAAAAATTCTATTGGGCAGTCTGTAAAATTTGAGTTTATAATTTGGTTTCTTACAATACATTACCCAATTCGTTTCTCCAGCCCCTTTGTTAAATGATCGAAGTGACCTCTATACACACATTTTAGCATACTATGCATCGTCATGACTCTACCTACGCTATGCTATATTGATCGTATGTGTACACGAAAACTTACAAAATCTGGACCGCTTTTAATACTTTTTAAAGATTCCTCCTACATGTTACCCCTCTGAATTATTTGTCTGATTTATTGCAAACTTTCGCTATTCTGATTTCCCACATATCACATACCATACCAATGAAGTTATTACAAGGGCAGGATTGGCATTGCCCTTTAATGTCAATTGAGAACAACTTCACTGGGCTTAAAAATCAGTGTAAAAGCCCCACTGCACAACTTACAATGTATAGTTACTTGCGCCCATATAGCAAACAATGCCTAATCGGTGCCTGTTGGTCCCCAATGATCCTCTTTTTCTTATGTTAATTGAGAGCTGAGTTGATGAGATAACCACCTGTCAGCACTATGAACATGGCGGACAAAGAGAGAGGACAAAATATACAGTTCCTCAGGTAGACAAAGAAACATCCCTTCACTGCTATTATCTACAAATGTGTAGAACAGGTGTCACATGCATATTCACCTGTTCTACACATTTTTACATAATAGCAGTGAAGGGATGTTCCTTTGTCTACCTGAGGAACTGTATACACTATGAATATGACAGACAAAGAAAGCAGACAAAATATACAGTTCCTCAGGTAGACAAAGGAACATCCCTTCACTGCTATTATGTAAAATGGTGAATGTGCATGTGACACCTGTTCTACACATTTTTACATACTAGCAGTGAAGGGGTGTTCCTTTGTCTACCTGAGGAACTGTATATTTTGTCTGCTTTCTTTGTCAGTCATGTTCATAGTGAATTTTGTCCTCTTTCTTTGTCTGTCATGTTCATAGTGCAGTGATCTTGCAGGGAAGTCTAATCCCCCCTGGCCCAACTAGTACAAACAGGCTTTTAAAAGCACTGACCTGAGTTCAGCAGAATGAGAAGTTTGAGGTAGAAATATTCATCTTGCGTTGTCTTCAAGGCTTGGAGCTTCTGGGCCAGCTGCTTCATCCTCCTCACAATGTCCAAAATGGCAACAGAATTGACCACCGCCATCATGTCACAGTGTGACCGGTCCGGCAGGATGAGATGACCTTCATTGTCATGGCAACGGAAGCAAACGGTCAAGACGAGAACTTGGAGCCAGTTTGCTTTCAGCAAGACTGAGCGATCACCAACCTAGAACATAGAGGGGGTAAAAATGAAACGAGTCACTGTATGTGTTTGCGGTAGAATAGGGCCCGCAAGGAACCCAATTCCAACTTGGGTTTATTTTGTACATCATGTTATTCTTGATCTTATTCATAGTTCTTATCCATTAAAAATCATAGAATGCCACTACGCCAGGTTAAGTTTTTTAGGTAGATTTTATTCTAGCTGTACACAAAATATATACGAGAATTTGGTACATTCTAACTCTTACTGTACTGAGGGGTGGGGGGGGGGGGGCATCTTGTTTCTTACAGTGTACGTGAATATCTACAAACATGCACATTTTTGTGTTCATCTGACATTCAAGGCCGAAGTCATAGGGCCTCCCTACACTGGAGGCACCCGCCCCCTTACACTGTAGTAATGGAGATGCTTAAAATAGCCCGGTACAGTAAGGGTTAAAGTATTCCTACATGAAGATGTCTGATTGTATAGTTAGAGCTAAAGTTCAAGGTACATGTAATTGGACTGGTGTCTCCTTTAACATTTTCAAACCCTGTGTGGATTAGAACTGACATCCTTGGGTTTGTGCCTGCAAACAATGGGATTTGTCCAGTATACTATATGCAATACAAGTCGATCTGAATGATACAAGATAGCAGTGAAAATATTAAATGTTTCAATGATAAATCATGAAAGGGACTCACAATTAGCAAATAATTACATTGTATCAAAAATCATGTAAAATATATTTTTCCCCTCCCCTCACCCCCACTCTAACAGATCTATTCTAGGCCTTTAGAAATCTACACTACAGTATAATGGACGCTTATGTACATGTACGTCACTCTGTGATGCTCAAGCATCTCTCTTTGTCTCTCTTCCTCTCTCTTTCATTCTCTCTCTCTCCTTTTCCAACACGTTTTAAAACATCCTTGATAGTTGTGTACAATACATCACCTGGCGATGCTCATGGCGCCTGTACATTGTACACTATTACCGTACCCTACTACAGTCCAGATAATTGAAACCCTACAATATACTGTGTGTGTGACACAATACCATCATGTATGCATGTATAAGTTTGAAGTAAAGAGAAGCAATTCCCCCCCCCCCCTCAATCCTCCCTCTCATGCACTAGACATTACTGTAATTAACGTTGTATAAACCGCCCTCGTGTAATAACCGCACCCCTCTTTTTCACCCTTTAATTTTTTTAATTTTTTTTTTTGTGCCGAGATTTTTTTTTTGTGTGTGTAAGATCATTGATGTAAATTAAAAACAGTAGGGGACCTAGGATAGAACCTTGTGGTACACCATGTAATAGAAGAAAAATTGGAGGAATTATTATTATAAACTACATATTGAGATCTATCAGAAAGATTACTTTCAAACCAAGATGACAGACAAATTTGAATGTTGTTCTAGTTTCAGAGTGGTAAGTCAACACACCGATTACGGAGCTGGGAGACATTTCCAGGCATAGCGCCAGGTGGAGGAGCATAAATCGAAACTTTAAAAAAAAATAATAATAATTTTGGTGTACCGTGTATAAGTCTCACCCCCGACTTTGAATTTTTTTTCGGCGGCAAAAAGGTGCGGTTAATACACTGTTAATTACGGTACTCTGGTTAGGTCTCTACAGACATGGTTAGGTCTCTACAGACATAGAGAACATTCAGAAGGACAACCAAAACCAGCAATTACCCCCCCCCCCCCCCCCACCCCCCCCCCCCCCCCCCCCCCTTAGCCTCCTTCACATGCACTAGACATGACCTTGGGAGGTTAAAATGAGGCTTCCAGGCTTGTATAGGCATAGAGAACATTCAGAAGGACAACCAGAAGACCAGCAATTACCCCCCCCCCCCCCCCCCCCCCCCCCCCAGCCTCCTTTACATGCACTACCGGTAGACATGACCTTGGGAAGTCAATGTGGCATCCAGGCCTAGAGAACATTCAGAAGGACAACCAGAAGATTATTTGGGGAGATGGGGGCAGTCAACCAATACTCCCCCCCCCCCGACCCCCTGCCTCAATGGGGGGGGGGGGGGGGGGGGCAGCAAGAAATGGGGAAAAGTAGGAGAAAGAAAGAGCAACAACAAACTAACAGTAATAATAAGTTTAGGTTTAGGAAAAAACTAAATGAAAGAGATGTACATTGTACCGGTATACATTTTGAATACAGAGATAGAATAGAGGGCTGGGGGAGAGTGGAGACTTAAATTGTATTAAAGGGATTGAGTATCTAGGCCTCAGATTCTAAACAAAATCCTTGATTTACATGTAGCTCATGCTGCAATCATAATCACAGCACATAGAGACGTATTGTGATATGAGCTATATATACTGTAAGTACAGTATAATATTAAGCCCGGAATCCCATCACTAGGCCGATCACCTGTCGTGTTTGTCAAGATATTTATAATTAAAAATTGAAATGTTTCCAAAGGTTTTTATAACACTAAAGGCTTATTGGGGGAAATGAGTAGTAAAACCAGTCACTCAAAGATTTTTACTTTTTTGAGGCGATACATGATCACTTTGAAGCACAGTTCTTTTAGGGCTTCAATGCTATATCACAGTCACTGTAGACATGTAGGGCCATGCATCTCAGATTTACATTATTAAACGATGCCTTTAAAGGTAATGCAAAGTTTTGAGAAATTCTGTAAATTGGATGGATAGTAATTCTTTAAATGTTGATATACCAGTATTCGGATGCCCCTTTGGATGTATTATGAGCACTAGAAAATTTAGCTCTTAAAACCCTTTTGCTTTCGAGAAATTGAATAATCACAATTTTACTGGTGCTCCGGGTAAATTTCAAATATTTCAAATATATACATGCACGGCTTGTACGCTAAGGCCATTCCATGGTAGCTGGGACCATGAAAATCTCAGAATATGCAGTTCATATATAATTTCCAAATGGGAATAGAAAAAATTGGTTGGTTATAGTCCGGTAACATTGTTTTAAAACATTGTTTTAAAGCTAAAGTAATCAGTCTTGAGTGGGAGCTATACAACATAAAGAGTGTATTATTTACAATTTCATCACTTTAGACTCAATTTGAACAGCGACAATGATCATTAAATATTTTAAAATCGCATGCTTCCCAATTTTTCCATTTGAACCAAATTCATTACCCCATACCAAGCCCAATACACATGTACATGCATGTACTTGCTGGTCATTTGGCTAAACATGCATACATGTACATACTGTACATGTTTATGTTCTGTATAGGGTGTTGTTACTGTTGTAGATCTATACCCAGGGGGCACAGCAGCTGGATCTCGAGACATGAAATGTTAAAGGTTGTATGAACTTTGGTATCAATGTGTTAACAGGACCTCGCTGCACAATTTCTAGGTGGACTACCTTCAGTACCTTGACATTGACAATACGCTGCTAAAAAAAATGGCTGCTCAAAATAGCCGCCATGTATCATGAACTACTGTTGAACTATTGTGGAGATTACTTTCTATTTAAACATCATTTTAGTTAATACATGTAAGTCACTGCCATCAAAGAGTTTGTTTACTGTACACTTGGGACATCAATCATCCAATCATCCACAGTCAAATCATAACAATGGCTTAAATACAACCTTTAAGCATAAATATCTTGTACATGTACATTGTACACTACTGCCTAAAGGTTTTGGCAGCGGGCTGACCCGATGCCCGAAGCGCGTAGCTGAAGAAACGATGTTCGGGTCGCGCCCGATGTTCGAGTCGCGCCCGAAATCTGCCCGAAATCAGCCCGAAATCTGCCCGAAATCTGCCCGAAATCTGCCCGTACTATATTCGCCTTGAAATGATGCGCGTGCTGAAGTCGTGCGTTTTTAAGACTCGCACGCGACAAGACCCGATGACGTCACGTTGAAAAGTCAAAACTGGTCGAGAAGAGCGATTCAACTGCAGATCAATTTGCCTATACAATTTGCGTGTTAAAATATGAATCGCACCGCACGAAAATTATACACAAATACACGTAGAGTGTATGGGAGAGTCGAGTGTTTGTTAGGAAAGACGCTCACTAATTTGTTTTGGTGTTCACCAACTCTCACAGCAATATGAGTAAGGCAGCCTAAAGTCTAGTCTAGACCCCCTGATTTAGATCTAAGAGTGGATGACCACCGTAGGCTTTAGATATTTTTCTGCCAAACATCTTCGAGGAGCTAGGCCCAGGGTCCATGAAGTTAGCAGTCGCTAGCCGGACGGCAACGGGGACGGCAAACGCTAGCATAGATCTACCGTACCACATCGTCATGCCTAGCCTAGGCTCTAGCCTAAACTTAATAAAATGGTTCAATTGAGCATTCATCAGACTAATGATATGAACAATTTGGTCTCACCTTACATTATGCCAATGACACATCAGTCCCTGTTTCCATATTTTAATTCCAAGGATTAAGAGATACTTTCTTTGCAACAGCTAAGTCATAATTAATACTAATAGTGCTACATTGTGTAGCCTGTAGGCATAGCCTATGCTAATAACACTATGCATGCTGGATCTAGATTTTGGACGCACGTGGTACGCGAAGCTTACGTAGATATCTAGGTCAACTTAGGACCTATGCTCGCGCTACTTGCATCACGTTCGTGACCTTAAAAAAAAAAAGGAAGGCGAGGAAAAAGAAGAAAGGAAATATGTAGAAGGAGGGAGGGGGAAGAAAAGGAAGGAGAAGAAAAGAAGAAGAGTAGATAAAAAGCAGAGGGGGCGGGGGAGAAGAAAATGAAGAAGAGTAGATGAAGAAGCAGAGGGGATTGGGGAAGGAAAAAAGGCCCAAGGAGAGGAAAAAACAGGGGATATAAAGAAGCAGAGGGGGGGGGGGGAGAAGTTGATAAAGAAGCAAATGGGTGGGGGTGAAGAAAAAGATGGAAGAGTACACCTGTAGATGAAGAAGCAGAGGGGATTGGGGAAGAAAACAAAGGAAGGAGAGGAAAAAGAAGAAGGGGGAGAAGAAAAGGAAGGAGAAGAAAAAGAAAAAGGGGGAGAAGAAAAGGAAGGAGAAGAAAAAGAAGAAGGGGAGATGAAGAAGCAGGGGGAGAAAACGAAGGAGAAGAAAAAGATGAAGAGTAGATGAAAAGCAGAGGGGGCGGGGAGAAGAAAATGAAGAAGCAGAGGGGATTGGGGAAGAAAAAAAGGAAGGGGATATAAAGAAGCAGAGGGGGGGGGGGGGAGAAGAATAGATGAAGAAGCAAAGGGGTGAGGGTAAAGAAAAAGAAGAAGAGTAGATGAAGAAGCAGAGGGGATTGGGGAAGAAAACAAAGGAAGGAGAGGAAAAAGAAGAAGGGGAGATAAACAAGCAGAGGGGGGGGGGGGGAAGAGTAGGTGAAGAAGCAGAGGGGCGGGACCGGGGGTGGAAGAAAAAGAAGAAGTGGATATGAAGAAGCAGAGGGGTGGGGGAAGAAAAAAAGGAAGGAGAGGAATAAGAAGAAGGGGAGAGGAATAAGAAGAAGGGGGAGAAGAAAAGAAAGGAGAAGAAAAAGAAGAAGACAATCTAACTAAAAATAAGAACAAACATAGACACACGAAACAAGCAGAGAACTTATTAATCAATTCCAAATTTAATTTGTTCACCAATGAATTGAATGTTTGAATGAGGAGAGCTAGCGTAGCGTATATTTCGTATTATGTTAAAAGTGTTTCTAAACAAAGGGTACTTTGGAGACAAGGTGTCTGGCAACATGCGTTTATCTCAGAAGTTATTTATAAACAGATCATGTTTGCGCGGTAAGATCACGTGATCTTAGTAGTGATGATTGAACCTTCGAGAGAGAGAGAGAGAGAGAGAGAGAGCAGTTCTGCCCTGAAAACTAAGCGTATGCATTTGTTCGAATCTTTCTCATCTTTTCTGTTTTTGCAATTCTTTGTTCCATCCTCTCTCCCTCTCTCTCTCTATGCTTGTATATTCCCTTCTCTTGTTCATTACGGTTCTAGTTCTAGGAGAATTACCCTTGGGCAATCACCCCCCCAATTACTCCCCCCCCCCCCCCCCCCCCCGTGGACATTTACATTTCCCTGGAAATTACCCCATTCCACAATCACCCCCTTGTTTAATTCCATGTTTTTCTTTCTATCAATCATGTATTTTCGATTATCATTTTTTCTTTCCATACGTATGTAGAGCTTTATGAAGCAATTATTAATCATTCTTCTGGTTTCCTTCGTAAATGTGTTCACTTTATGTATTTCTTAGATTTTTTCAATCATTTTCTATTTTTTCCTCAATCCTCAAGTATTTCTTTGTTATTTCCTTATGTATTACTCGTATTACGTATTTTCATTGTTTATCGCCATGCTATCTTGTGTGTGTATTTTTGTGAAGTGGGGGGGGGGGGGGGGGGCTGGAGTCTCTCTACATCATCATTTTACTAATCGCCATCAATACATACAGCCAGCATTTTCATCATCGTCCATCAATATCATCACCATCATCATCACTACGGTCACCATCGATAAATCGGTATCATCAGAACAACTCAACATCTCTTCAGTGACTGGGCAATAACTTTCCTTTTCCACACAAAGCGGTTCCCTTTAGAAATTTGATTTGTTTACTAAAGCCTTGTTTCGTGAAGTTGCCCTCTCACTTCAGACATGCATGCCGCTGCGGTTTGTAGAAAGAACAGAAAAGGCGTAAACATTGCGTAACATGCACTTTCTCTGTCATCATGATGGTTCGTAGTAGGTCCATGCTGAAGGCTGGTGGAATTTGACAGGGGCCACGCGAGCGGCCACAGAATATTCATAAAACAATAATTTAAATGTAAATAACTATGCATCATGAGCCACTCGTGTTTTCTTAAGAACCCCTTTAAATATTGTGTTGCTCTTTACTCGAATATCGCAACCCTGAATCGCATTTGATTCCACATTTGGCGTCCATTATGCGAGCACGAGCAATACAGCCAGTAGTTAACTAGCTTAGCCTCGTGGTTGCTGCTTTCCCTAACGTCCGCAATTAAGGCACACCTTTTTTCCGTCAGCAAAATATCGAAAGTCGGGAGTGCGCCTTAAATAGTCAGGAACAGGATATTTGAGTCCTCAAATGCTACTTTTTAGTGGTTTTCAAAAAATCTCTGTGTCTCAACATGAATTACATAATGCAAATTAAGAATAGGATCTACTATTTGAAGTTAAACTACGTTCCTAATTTGAAAGGAAGAGAGGGTTTTTTCAGTTTTTATTTTCAGTCTCGATAAATTATGCCCTGTCACAAGGCACTTTGCCGGCCGAAGCTCTACCTTGTCTTCAGCTCACTCACCTGTATGATGCAGCTCACACAAGGGATAACGAATCACCACACGAAAACTAGCCTGTCCACATTTCTGTTTGGACTCGGAGGAAAATTCTGTCATCTTTAGTTTTAAAAACAACATTGTTACTGGGTCTAACTCAGTTCACAAGCACTTCAACCGTGCCTCGTAATAAAATGAAAGTATTTTTTAACACTGTCACTGAAATAAGAGCCGATCTGATGTTAACAAAAAGACCAATGTTGGCTTTTTTTTGGTGGCTTTTTGTTAACCAGATCAGATCGCGTCTTATTTCAGTGTTCGAAAAATACTTTCACTTTTCATTATACGAGGCACAGTTGAAGTGCTTGTGAACTAAGTTAGACCTAGGTCTAGTAACAACTAACAATGTTTTTTTTTTCAACTAAAGATAACAGATTTTTTTTTTCCAGATTTTTTTTTTTTTTGGGGGGGGGGGATCTTCGAAATAGGGGTGCGCCTTATAGTTTTGTGATTTGCTTTCTAGTATTGCGATGATGTATAGTTGTACGCTTTAAATTAAGACATGTTCATCATTGAAAATGGTCATGGAAATTTACATTATCCTGCTCTGGAAAGTCATGAAAAGTCATGGAATTTTTAAAATGTGTAAGTGTACGAACTCTGAAGTAAGTCTTTATAATTATTTGGATGTTTTGATATTTTCGGTTGATTCCAGATGAACAAAAGCAAAGGTAAACTGTTCGCCAGATTCTGGTAAAAATCGCCAGTCAATCCCTCTTTGAGTGTGAAGCAAGGGTTACCGGATGCGTGTGGGTCACCTACCTGGTTTTATCAAAGCATTTATCCTCGTACCAGACGGTTAATTTCGTCTATTTTGTAATTAGCCGCCTGGAGAAGAAAAAAATCTGCGGTAGTCCGCAGTTGACAAAAAAGTTAGGCGACAACTGTACCAAAATAAGTGATAATACTTCAACACTAAATACTTAAATTGTAAATTGATTTAATTTTTAGCTATGTCCTTCCATCGTGTTTATTTTAACTTTGACAAAATGACATGAGTTCGAGAACGCCGACTCGGCAGACTTTCACCGCATGTTAATTAAATCTGTTTAATGGTTGTTTTCTTGACAAAAACATCGAGTTAGAGTGACTATTGTGACGTTTGGAGATAACCATTATGACATCACAAAGCCGCGTAGCACTAGCATTCCACGCAGATGCGCATTTTTTCACAGACATTGCGCGCAAAGCAACGGCGCATAGCAACAAAGTAAACAAAGCAGCTCGAAGTTCGGGCGATCCCCCAAATTCCGCGCGTGCGTTCAATTCAACTGCCCGAAACCTGCCCGAAATCTGCCCGAAATCTGCCCGAAATCTGCCCGAAATCTGCCCGAACTTGCTCACATTTTTGGCAATTGACACTCAAAAAAAATACGCGACCCGCGAGTAGCTTGCCCGCGCCCGCAGCCCGCTGCCAAAACCTTTAGGCAGTAGTGTACATGTACACTGTACTTGTACTTGTAGGTTATATTATATTTTGAAAAAAAACCTGCTTCCTAGTTTATCATCCCCTACCACCTCCTATGTAATATTTATATAATTAATTGGATGGCTTTGAGTGAAAAACAAAAATATATTGATCGAGCTACATGTACACACATGTATGACAATATTGGACGAGTCGAAGACGAGTTTAGCGAGAGCAATATGTTCTTGTATCACACGAAAACAAAGCCATACAATATCATTATCTATATCAGTCTGACTTACATACATGTGTACATGTACAAGTATGTGTGTGTACCTCAGTAAATATACATACAGTTGTTGAAGTTCCCAGATGACTGAGCAATACAATTTAAACAATATTGGTCAGTCATCCGGGTACTGCGCTAAAGATATTGAATACACTGATTTATTGTACCCCTTGGAAGCCTTATATGTAGATAATAATATGTGATATTCTATCGAATTGACACAAAAAAAGAGAGAATATTCTGAAAAATCTGGACACTAAAATTGGCAACGCTTATTTTGGAATGGAGCACAAACCTCTTGTAATTTTTCACTCTTTTTTTAATACATGAATGTATCACCGTGAATAATAGAGTGGGTGTACTGTATTGACATAGTAAAAGCAGCACGAGGTCAAAGGTTAATAATTCAATTCAATTTCAACTTGTTTTCATTTTGTAGCACATGATATCATATATTGCATACTTGTAACACCGATGGAAAAGTATTGGATGACATAAAAATGTAGACAATGAGGCATTGAAAATCCACATGTAAACAATTGTTGAGCATCTGAAACATGAAATTTTATCAGGAAATTAATTTCAAAATTCACCTTTCAGTATTTTTGTGAGTTGGAACATCTACAACTGTACATGTGTATGTACAGCAAACAACATGGCACTTCCTTCCCATTTTCTTAACAAATCTGGAAAGCGACAACACATTTTTCTTAAAGGAACCATCAGAAGTAAAAGGTTGGCCAACGTTCTAATGAAACAGGTGCGCCAAAATATTGTAAATGTCATGGGACTGGCTTCGCAAAGTCATTGATTGTTGCCCTCTAAACCTGCCAACCGGCTAACTTTAAAGTACAGTAAATGTTTGAGTTATTGCCCATCAGGCTATACACAGGCAACCTGTTTCAATGAGATGTCAGCAAACTAGTACATGTCATGTACCCATTGCCTCCTAGAGCAGAGGGGTTCCTGTATTAAAGGTAAAGACCAGTTTTGGAAACGCCCCCCTCTAAAAAAATGAAATGGAAGCTCTTATTTAATACCAATCATGTGAAAGAATATGTTTTGACTATTAAATATGTGATGATACAAATACAGTACGTGATGATACAAATTTTGCAGAGAAACCGCCTACTAATTAATATATTTGGTAAATTATTATATCTATGTGGACCGGATAGATATCGCGAACGTGTCACATAGTCCCATACATCTTTCTGTATACAGTGTTTGTTATTTTACCAAGACTGGGCCAAATTTATTATGATTTTGATGATTCCAGAACTTTGCAGTACACACCAATACTTACATGCTACATGCACTATGAATATGACTGACAAAGAAAGCGGACAAAATATACAGTTCCTCAGGTAGACAAAGGAACATCCCGTCACTGCTATTATGTAAAAATGTGTAGAACAGGTGTCACATGCATATTCACCTTTTTACATAATAACAGTGAAGGGATGTTCCTTTGTCTACCTGAGGAACTGTATATTTTGTCCGCCATATTCATAGTGATGATCAACTTGTTCTGATCTATTCCACACCTTTTCTTTCACAATGCAATCGCATGACCAGAACTCAACTTTATCTTTAACCCATTGCCTACTAGAGCAGAGGGGTTCCTGTTAAGGCTGCGACGGGTATTCGAATGCTCGAGTACCCGCACGGTTGACAACTACTCGGGTACGATTTCTTGTACCCGAATATTCGGCCGCAAAAAAAAAAAAAAAAAAAAAATTTTAAATGTCCAGGCCCAGACTTACCCGTGCCAGGGAGAGCGGCGTCCGCTGGCATGGTACCGTTGGTAAAAATGTTCCCAACTCAAGCACTGTCAAACTCACCTTTCAGAAACTGGGACCAAATGTCCAGATTTCTGTTTGGACTTGGAGGAAAATGGATTATTCTGCCATCTTTGGTTTTTAAAAACAGCATTGTTTACTGTTATTATTCTTATTAAATCGGCGCCTTCAACTGCAACTCAAAGTAAAGTTGCATGCGTTTTCAGCGAGGGACCTGAGAAACTGCCGAGTGGTATGGTAGTGGCAAAAAAAAATAAAAAAATAAAATAAAAATTAAATTAAACAAAATTTAAAAAATCAAAAAAAATCAAAAAAAATCAAAAAAATTCAAAAAAATTCAAAAAAAATTCAAAAAAATTATAAAAAAACATGGCGTCTGAATATTCGAGTATTCGCCTGTGAGCATGGGAGTGTACTCGGTACCTCATTACACTGTTGTGCACAGCCCTAGTTCCTGTATTAAAGCTATGGGATTAACCTATTTCAGCAGTCAATGGGTTCATAGACAAATTCCTGAAATTATACATACATGTATACGTATGTACTTGTATGAATCTACAGGAATGGAGGCTACTTACCTCTAGGTCATGGAGGTATGGCAGCATCTCAATCCATGAAGGCATCTTCTTGCAGAAATGATCCATAAGATAATAGGACCCCGTTAGGAGACTCTTCTCACTGTGACACCGGTCAATGGAGATCCTTGGCAAGCCAAAGGGATTGAAGAACGTTGCCTCAATGCTTTCCAGTTTTCTGAGGTAAAGAATGTATTCGTCACAGGAGTCACTACTTGTTGTGCTTCCAGTGGACGTTGACGGCTTAATAGAGATGTCCGTTGAAGTTGTGGGTATTGAAGCAGATGAGGTCACAGGGTTGGACAGCATGCGTTCCTGGTGTCCAAGAGTTTGCTGAGGGAGTATCCTCATGATTTCAAGACTTTGATCGTCTCTGTCCCCCGCCGGAGGTTGAGTTGCTGTACTGGGGGCCCGTTTACGAGGTTTACGTTTCTTGATTTGTCCGAGGGCTTCGTTTTGCTGCTGCTGTGTCTGCAGCTGCAGCCGTCTTCTCTGCTCAGAGGATCCTTCGTACATACTCCTTCCTCCCCTTTGCCTGTCTCCTCTGACAGCTAGATAGAATAAAAGGACATAGGCAGTGAGAACTGGAAAACACTGATAAAAACTAAAGCACAGTCATTATTATAGATACATGATATTATGCAGATTTTCATCATACTCAATAGACACATGAAAAATGTACATGTACATGTACAATGTACCAAAGCAGTGCAAAACTGCAAATATTGAGAAAATTGAAGTAGAGAGTACATTTGCATTTGGGATAAAGACACTATTGACTACATTTGGGATAAAGACACTATTGACTTCATTTGGGATAAAGACACTATTGACTACATTTGGGATAAAGACACTATTGACTACATTTGGGATAAAGACACTATTGACAACTTTGGGGATTTATAAAGACACTATTGACTACATGTACATGTACATTCGAGATACAGACACTATTGACTACATTTGGGATAAAGACACTATTGACTACATTTTGGATAAAGACACCACTGACTACAATTGGGATAAAGACACTACATGTATTGACTAGTGCTGTAAGTCAGACGCTATATTCGTGTTCGGTTCGGCGATTTTTCACCCGAACTTGGTTCGGTTCGGGGTTCGGTGATATAATAGCAAGCAGCATTAGAGCCACGGCGGTCGGTACTGGGCGGCCGCGGCAGCCGCCTGCCCTGCCAGGCCCGACCAGCACGGAGGACTTCTACACACTGCTTCCGACTAGCACGAATTTCACATTATACTAGATGGAACTTCGACTGCGCGCAGTCGAAAATGATGCCGCATGACCTTTGACCTTGACCTCGTGACCCCGAAATCTAGTCAGTTCATCGGCTCTGCAAGATACATACATGACCAAAGTTTGGCAGGAATCCATCAATAGGTTCTTCAGATAACGCGATCACGAGCTGTTTTTGCATACATAATGAGCCCTGTGACCTTTGACCTCGTGACCCCAAAATCTAATCAGTTCATCGCCCTGCAAGATACATACATGACCAAAGGACGGACAACCCGAAAACATAATGCCTCCGGCTACTTCGTTAAAAACTGCTCTAAACGTAATTATTTGCGAAGAAAAATACTACTTACATTCGTATTCCGTCTTGAATCGTGTTTTATTTTCAATTTAAAAAAAAATCATGTTTTCAATTTGTCGATAAATGATATTTTTTAAAGATTTTCCGAGACGGTTTTTGTCTAATGTTAGAGTCATGAAAGCTGCCATCTTGAACAGAGACTCAGCCTTGTCAATAACTGTTTTTTTATAAGTTTTTTATTTTCAATAAAAAAATATAAAATCCCTATTTTTCCTGGATAAATAAATACCATACTAGAATATATACATGTATGTATTCATTTCATTATTTATATTGTAAAATTTGTCCGATATGGTTACAATAAAAATATTTTTTTTTTGTTGAGTGGGTTTGAGCTGAAACTGTTTTGATCACACACATGTATTCTTGTTTATATGGCTTGCGATCGCGACGTAGCGTGGTCAGGATTTGGGATTTAAATGGTGCCAGTGAAGTTGCGCCCACCACTGGATAGGCATAAATCACAAAGGTGGAAAATGGGAAAAAAGTAAAAAATGAGCAATCATGACATGAAAATTAGGTACATGTACAAAATGACAAGTTTATTAGCTTGCAAAAACATTTACATTTTTATGCCGAACATCCGAACCAGGCCTTTGCGTTCGGTTCAGTTCGGTTCGGTTCGGAAGTGCCATGTTCGGCGAACTTCCGTTCGGTTCGGCGGTTCGGCTACAGCACTACTATTGACTACATTTGGGATAAAGACACTATTGACTACATTTGGGATAGAGACACTATTGACTACATTTGGGATAGAGACACTATTGACTACATTTGGGATAAAGACAATATTCACTACATTTAGGATAAAGACACTATTGACTACGTTTACAATGTAGGCAATCAATTTGGCTCAAGAGTAAGACAACTAAACAAAAGTCCAACCTGATATAAAGTTATTTTTAAATAAAAGCAGGAAAAATACGAGAAACTTGTTTGTAAAAGGTTGAAGAAAATCTGAAAAACAGGAATTTTTGAACTGATGAATCCATGACTTTGCTGGAAACCATCTCCCCAATCATTCTGTGACTTTTATTGAATTTAACTTTAAGAATAACCTTTTCTTCCTTGTTTAACAAAGAGGGGCATGTACAAATGTTAAGGGTAAAGGAACGACAAACTTTGGGAGAAAATTGGAGAATTATACTCTTAAAAAAAAAACTAGATGGAACTTCGACTGCGCGCAGTTGAAATGATGCCTCCGTCATAGAGCAATTTACAAATCAAAATAGAAGAAATTTTTCAAATTCAAGTTCAATTGTAATCCATTAACAGTACTCAGAATATCGTGATTACAAGCAATTTCTCATATACATGTACATATACATGTATGACCCTTTCATCTTTGACCTCATGACCCTAACATCTACTCAGTTCATTGGCTCTGCAAGATGTCCCGAGTTAAATAGTAATCCATCTGTCAGTTCTAATGAGAATGCGTTCACAGCCTATTTTTGCATACATAATGAGCCGCATGACCTTTGACCTTGACCTCATGACCCCAAAATCTAATCAGTTCATCGGCTCTGCAAGTAACATACATGACCTAAGTTTGGCAGGAATCGATCAATCGGTTCTTGAGATAACGCGATCAAGAGCTGTTTTTGCATACATAATGAGCCCTGTGACCTTTGACCTTTGACCTCGTGACCTTAAAATCAAATCAGTTCATCAGCTCTGAAAGATACATACATGACTAACGTACGGACGGACGGACAACCCGAAAACATAATGCCTCCGGCTACTTCGCAACGGAGGCATAAAAAAATGATAAATGGAGAGCAGCTCACCCGGCCAGGATAACAAATTATGAGGCGCCGTTTGTAAAACAATTATATAGACAAATTATATGTTATATAATCATTATTTAACAAATAATAACCATTATTTACATATAATGCAAGAAAATTTACATTTTTATTTGTATATAATTCTTAACACATTTTTATTATTTATAAATAATGACAAAGAACGTTTCATTATTTATATATAATTGCCATTATTTATAAATAATTACAATTAACACTTTCATTATTTATATATAATAAAAAGCGTATTTCAATTATATAATATATAATGAAAAGCACATTTCCATTATATAATATATAATGAAAAGCCATTTCCATTATATAATATATAATGAAAAGCGTATTTCCATTATATAATATATAATGAAACGCACATTTCCATTATATAATATATAATGAAAAGCGTATTTCCATTATATAATATATAATGAAAAGCACATTTCCATTATATAATATATAATGAAAAGCGTATTTCCATTATATAATATATAATGAAAAGCACATTCCATTATATAATATATAATGTAAAGCACATTTCAATTATATAATATATAATGAGAGGCGTATTTTCATTATATAATATATAATGAAAAGCACATTTCTATTATATAATATATAATGAACAGCGCATTTCCATTATATAATATATAATGAAAAGCGCATTTCCATTATATATTAAATAACGATTGTGTATGCAAATGTCAATGGTTGGTAACGCCCATAATATGAATATTCATGAGCTTGACTGATATTATTATCCTCTATTCCAGGCACCTTTCCATTTTGTGTTCTTTGTGCATTCTTATCAGAAATCCTACGTTCGGTAAATAAGTCTCTGTATCACTATTCTCCTTCTTATTTGTATGCAGATTTGGTTATAATGATTGATAACTGTAATCATCCTCATTATTTTAATAAGAAATTTTTCTATCTGTGATGGAAGTTTTTATGTACGATTGCCTGATCTGAAGACAAGACTTTCGCTGCATGCATATTTAATGTATGACGTCACCCACACAGAGTGAGAGCTCGAAGTTTTCTTTGAAAGTTTGATGGTGAGTACAGCTGTAATTACGTTCAAATCTCGTAAATTGAATCATATTTATAAACATATCTGCTGTAGGTATGAATCTGTTGATATGTCTGTACATTATGAAGTGGTTTAAAATGGTTATATCTGATGAATTTAGGAGTAATCTACACTCGAACTTTTGATTCGTTATTTATCGTCGTGAGAAATATTGCAGCTCGATTGCCATCGTCACTCCTTGATCCTTGGCCCAAACTTTCGGGCGAGACCCTCTCTGAAAATTAGATACGAGTATAGGGTCTATAGGCAGATCACTTCACTAGCGCTAGCTGCATCAATGATACAAGCTTTTTGTTACTTTTAGGTCCAACTGTTGAAAAACTACTTTCATAGTTGGGTCAGAAGAAAGTTAATAGCTAACACTAAAAAGCATGGTCACAGTTGACATGAACAAGCGCCAAAATTTAGACCAGATACCGAGATAGTTAGACGAGTACGAGAGTAGAAAATTTGAGGCCTAACAAAGTTCGGCCTACAGACCAGTAGATAATTGGACTACCTGTGAACAGGCGTGGATCCAGGATTTCTTAGGGGGGGCCCAAATTTGAAAAGAATCTGCACCACCCCACTCTTACATGCAGGTTCCGCTAAACGTTTCTCTAAGTAGGTGAGGGTGGGGGGGGGGGGGGGGGGGGGGAGGTATTTACGATCAAGTAGAGCGTTGTGAAATTGGCGTGGTGTCTAAGGGCAAAGAACGTGCGGGGGTCAAGGGGCGGAACCCCCAGAAGCTCAGGGGTATAGGCATTTAATTGCGGTCAGATGAGCATATTACTATTAGCATACCTTATTTGTGACACTGGCAGGACACTAATTGGCGTCACTATTCTTTCTTTCTTTATGAATTTGCCATTGTCCCACAAACGCATTAAAAAGTATAATTTATTAAACTTTGAGGAAAAATCTCAGAAAATTATGTCATTTCAGCAACATCTGTAAATCACCGGTAATCACCGGTATCGAATTAGAAATAAACCACGTTTGAATTATATTTGGGGGGCATCTGTCAACCCCCCCCCCCCCTAAGTCCCCTTCCCCATCAGTACGCCAGTGCCCCTCCCCCCGATCTACACGTAACTGATCTCCCCTACCTTTCTTCTTTCTCTTTTTTTCTTTCCCTTTCTCTCCTATTTCCCTTTCCTTTCCCTTCCTACTCTCTGTTTTAGGTTTGCTAGGGGGAAGCAAGGGCCTTTTGGCCCCCCCCCCCGATCCACACATTGTTGGCGGGATTAATCGCAACTGTTCTCCCCTTCTTATCACCCTTTTCTTTTCTTCTTCCTCTTTTTTGTTCCCTTTTAGCTCTCCTCTATCCCTTTCCCTTCCTTCTCCTTTTTTTTTTGGGGGGGGGGGGAGGGAGGAGGAGGCAAGGGCCTTTGGCCCCCCCCCCTCAAACTACAACTTGTTGGCAGGAAAATTGCAACTGATTTCCCCCTTCTTTTCTTCTTCCTCTTTTTCCTTCTCTTTATCCCCTCTTTACTTTTTTTCTTTCCCTTTCCTTTCTTCTCTTTTATTTTTTGATGGGGGGAGGGGGAGAGGTTACAGCTGGGAGGCAAGGCCCTTTCGGCCCCCCGATCTCCTTTTCCCCATTTTCTTTTCTTCTTCCTCTTCTTTCTTTCCCTTTCTCTCCTTTTTCCCTTCTTTTCCTTCTCTCTCTCTCTCTCTCTCTCTCTCTTTTTTTTTTTTTTTTTTTTGGATGGGGTGGGGGGGGGGGGGGGGCCAAGGCCCGCTCGGCCGCGCCTGTCTGTGAATGTGATACTCGTAGTCGTACAGAGTCTTGTAGCTATCTAACAAACTAAAACACGATCCCCCCCAAAACAAAATATTCAGTCTAGACTACATTGTATACAGGGATACGTATAGTGGTGCCTGTGTGTTTCTTAAACTCTTTGTTGGCTTAGCCTAATTTGCCTCTGCTCTAGGCTCTATCTTTGAATTTTTGTTTGCTGTAAACACGATTAAGTTTTCTCTGTTATATATAGATCTAGGTCCATACCTTTTTTGCGTTTTTTCAATTTGATAAAATGAACAGTTACGAGACATGCATCTAGATCATCTAGAGACTGTAGATCAACTAGATCTGGATGAAGGATGAAGGAGGGCTTTTTTGGTAAAGAGAAAATCCAAATTAAAATAGAACAGTTAATTCTGCAAATGCTCATCAATGTTTAAATGATCATGCTCATTTCCTTTTATTCTAAGAATTGAATTCCCCCCCCCCCCCTCTCTTTTACAGGAAAATGTACAGAGACTTGTCGCAGTTAATGCAGTACCAAATACTTGCTTTCTTGGAGTATGTGCTTGAAACAAGAATGTCCTGGAGAAAACAGACCACCACAAGAGAAGGTAAACATATTTACTTTTGATCTAACTTGATCTGTTTATTTTTTTTCAAGTAAAACAACATTTTGAAATGAGTGAGGTCAAGGCCAAGCTGGAGGGGATGCGAAGGGCTGGTTTGAGAAGTATGTATTAATGGGATGGCTATGTATGATTCCACATGAAAAAATTTGAGGCCTAGGCCTACAATGTACATGCAAGACATTTTAATGTTACAACAGAGATACATGTATGAAGTAGGTATCAATGTTTTACTTTCATTCTCTTCTCTTTTCATTCAACAGACATACATGTACAGTATGGACTATGAAGTTCTACTTAGCCTCTTCAATGAACTGCTGGAGCTGCGACTGGGTATCAAAACCTTGGTATTATAAACTTCATAACCAGTGGCGGAGATATGTTGTTAGCCAGGGGGTAGGGGTCAGTGCCCCCCCCCCCACTTTTTCAAGTACCCCCAGTATGCCCCTTTTATGGCCTTTTCACATAGGTAAAGTGCCATATTACTTTGACAAGTTCCCCTATAAATTTGTAAAATTGCCCCTTCCCCATTTCACCTCTGATAAGTGCCCCTTATCCTTCGACAAGTTCCGATTCTTCTATGCAATAAGTGTTCATTTTCCATTCTCATAACTGCCCTTTTTAATCTCTAGTAAGTGCCCCTTTTCAACTACGAGAAATGCCCCTTTTCACTTTTGATAAGTGCCCCCTCCATCTCCTGATTAGTGCTCTTTTCATCTCTGATGAGTGTCCCATTTTGTCTCTAATAACTGCCACTTTTATTTGACACGCCCCCTTTTCCTTCCTAATAAATGCTCTTTTTTCTGATCATAAGTATCCCTTACCCTTCTCATAATTACCCCTTTTCATCTCTCATAAGTGCCTTGTTTACTTTAACATGTGCCTCTTTTCCTTTTTAATAAGAGCCACTTCCCCGTTTTCAGAATAGCCCCCTTTCACCTCCAATAAATGCCCCTATTAAAATCTGATCTGCACCTCCCTTTTTGTCTCGCCTACAAGCAAAAAGTGAGACATAGGCGCTGCTTTTCCGGTGACGGCGGCGGCGACGGCGTCAACATCAAAACTTAACCTAAGGTTAAGTTTTTGAATTTTTGATATAATTTTTAAAGTTTAAGTTTTTAGTCAATGAAACTTAGACTATAGGGTTATCAAGTATTCCCAATCACGTGAGAATTCCCATTCTCATAAGTGCCTTTTTTCATTCCTGGTGAGTGCCTCTTTCTGTAGGTCTAAGAAGTGCCCCATTTTCACCTCTGATAATTACCCTTTTACATGACACATGCTCCTTTTCCCCTTATCCCTTTAGTGTCCCCTTTTCCTCTCATCATTAACGCGCCCCTAATTTCAAGCGACTAAGAGTAACTTCCCCCAAAGCTCGCTCGCATTTATAGATGATATAATTACGTTACTTATTAAAGGTCTTTTCAGTCTTCCATTGTGAGAATGTGCTTATAACCCCATCAGGATTGGTTTTTTCCCTCTTAATAAGATGCAATTTTTTGTACTGCAATATCTTGTATAATAATAATAATAATAACCTAGACTTATATAGCGCATTTCATCTTCGAAGAAAATAGCAATGCGCTTTACAATATTACAATATTAATACAACAAAATTACACATAACAACTAATTCATGAACTAAAGATATATATGTATGGTGTATAAAGAGAAACAAATGTTGAAATCGTCCCTGATAATGTAATCACAATGTAGGGGTATATACCATTGTCTAAAAAATGGATATTTTCGCTTTGAGATTCCCTTTTTTTCCAGAAAGTGCCTATTTTGTTGGTGCCCCCCCCCCCCCCTTTGGAAGACGCTCCGCCACTCCTGGGGGGACACATCAGTCAAAAGCGCGCACAGGGGGGGGGGGGGGGTTGAGGGGTAATGTGCCCCCCTCCAAAGCTGAATTTTTGAACCTGGATTTTGTCAAACTCCCAATAGATAAATATCATTCACAATTCTCTTCAAGCAGTACGTGTAACTTCACCTTGCAAGCAGTATGTTTAATTTTTTAATCACCTTGTATATTAGGCCCTGTATTTCAGCTCAAATTGTTTAGTGATTGTGGACAGGCGAAGCAGGAAAATAGAAAATTTGGCCTTCATACACACAACCACACCAGTGACACCATGAAACAGAAACACTATTACAATGATTACCCGTACTGAAACATAGTTTTCAAACTACCGAGGAGAGGTAACCAGGAACCAAGGTATAATACAATGATGCAATTTTACCCATGTTGTAGTAGTACATGGTAGTAGTATGGATGTCCCGCCTCTTCTTTTATGCACATCCTTTCCACTGCTATCGCAAGTTTTAAAAAAAGGGCCCAATGCTGCATAACTAAGCAAGGTAGGAGTTCATTAAAAACATGATGTAAAACATTAAGTATATCACACTAAGCATCTCAATCTGACAGCACGATGTGGAGAAAAGTTAATGGTGTAGATAAATACACAACAAATATGTTCATCGGCAGTCTAAGTCAAGCAATCATTTATAAAACTGAGGCTTTGCCAAGGCATCCATTTTAAGTATGTGTCTATAGGGCAAATAAGATGTAGTCAAGTACTCAAGTTACCACCTGTCAGCCAAGATCAAACTTTTGGAATATAAGAGTTTTGGGGAGGGGTCATCTTTTATCAATTTCTGTTTATTGATAATAATTATAACATTTGGGAATGGGCCTATGAGTATGATTTATATATTGTATAAAACAAGCAACTGTTAATAAAGGTCTGATATACCTTGGTGCGTGTGTGGACCACGGAGTAACCATCACACTAAAGGATGTTATATACTATTGTACAGTATTATTGTTTCTCTGGAAAAAATTGCAGTCATTGAGTCATAGGTATTTTTTTTTTTTTAAGAAATGTTTTTATAATGTGTTTTATAATGAAGGGTGCAGGTCATGATACAATACATTCCCTGGAGAAAAAAATAGTGCTCAGATTTAGCCTAAGTATGCTTTGTTGAATTTTTAAAGAAAAAAGTAATCTACAAATGGAAGTAGCAGATGAGGTCATTTGTGCTTAATATTTGACCATCAATGTTATAATCTGTAAACATATTAGTTTGTTGTAATAAAATGAATAAATTAAACATGTTTATTATCTTATATACAGTATTCCCTTCATATCTTTTCTTTTTAGTGTGCATATATGGTTGGATAAATAGAATCATATGTGGAAAAAATCTGGAAACAGAAGGTGAGAGTTCAGAGAGAGAGAGAGAGCAAAAGAGAAAGGAAAGGAAATGAGAGAACTGTTTAATGGTGAGAGATGTTGATGTCGTGAAAATGAAAAATTTATAATGCAGTGAGACAGCGAGAGAGAGAAAAAAAAAAAAAAATCCATCTTATAAATGCATTAATCGCCTCGCCGCAATGCGGCTCGTGGGCGATGCTCTGCATCGTCATAGGGACAACCCCCCCCCCTTAGCAAAAAGCTAGATCCGCCCCCCCCCCCCCCCCCCCCCCCCCCCCCCCCCTGATAGGCCCTGACAATGAAATCTGGAGAACATACAGTTTCACAAGGGCTGGACTACTCTCTCGTGGATCAAATAAAGAAATAATGGAAGTTATTATAAAAGTATGTTTTTCTCTCTTGTTATGATAATTGGAGAAAAAAACCCTGTTAATTAGATTATATTAGTTTTAGCTTCAACTGTTTGATATTAATATGCATGTGGGCACAAATAGCAGCAACTGCGGTAAGTGATATCTACGGTATTCCTTGAGCTGCGGTAAATGATCTTATTGTATATGCCACTTACTGGTTTTCCATAGACCTGTGCACAAATGTTATCATATAATGCTATTTTTAAAAAATTCAATAGGATGGTGTACAAATCGAATATATTATGCCATTCTTTCCACTTAACTTCATGTTATTCAATATCCGTGTCATTCAAACAATACAGGCAAACATTCCCTGATGTCATTAAGTTTACATCAATCTATCTTGCTTCTCTCCTTATAAACAAGCCATCTTCATTGGAATTCACATCCTGAATTCCAATGAAGATAGACACCTCTCTTGCATTGTACATGAAATATCCATTCACTGATCTCCGCATGAAGTACCCTCAATTTTACGCACAGAAAGCTCACACTAACCCGTAACCAAAACCACCCTGAAATGATGACAATATTCAAAAGATCAATTCATTTGTACTCAAGTGTGGATTTTAATTCATTTGATCCCTTGATAGTCTGGGTTCGGTATACCGAAACAGGGGAGGGAGCAGCTTGTGGCGTGGAACCATAAGGACCAACGAGGTTCTTTTGGGACATAGTTTATATAAAATTACCAAGCTGAAACCTACCCTAATACCAGTCACATAAATCAATGCTCAACTGAGTATTTGTTGCGTTTTCCTCAATCATGACTTGTTGAGTTTTGTGCAGAAGTGCTACAATCCATTGTTTGAGAATGTATATAGCGAGTAGTCCAAATCTGGAGGGTCGCAAACTCCTTCTCAACCTCCATTGTTACATCTTGATTCCCGAAGAGCCTTGTGATTTGAGATGAACTTGGGAGAAGTTCCCACGTCGTTTTGGAGGCACACGCTCCTTGTGCTGACTGCTCCTCTTCAGCAACTACTACAGACAAGTCCACTTGTATCTTTGTAACCAATTCCAATAAGCCAGCTGTTCATGAATAAAATGTTAATTGAAAGAAGAAAAAAAAAATCCAATATTGTTACAAGCACTTTAAGATCTAAAGCTGACATCACAAGTATATTTCTTTTTCTTCTTTCTTGTTGTTTTTCTTCTTCTAGTAATCTTCAAAGGGCTATTAGTTTTATATAAATTCACTGTTTGCTCAACAGGAGTACATTCCTTATTTTCTGTGCCAACGAGAGATCCCAGATTAAAATATTACTTCTCATTATGGTCTGAAATGAAATACCATATTGCCAAACATGTATTTTATTACTAATATACTACATGTCTGAGTAAAAGATCTAATCAAACATTCCGACCATTGTTTTAAAGACAGTCAATACTACTGGGCCAGAAGGGATTAGACCACCCAGCCAGGTCACTGACAGTTGGCTATCTCATCAACTCAGCTCTCAACTAACATAAGAGAGGATCATGGGGGACCAACAGACACCGATTGGGGAAGTTTTCTATATAGAGAGAGCAAGTAGGACAGTGGGGCTTTAAGAATAGCAATTAGCATTCATAGAAATGGCATAGAATTTACATCCTTAAACTTTAAGCTTTGAAAACCTCGTTTTGATTTGAGTGTAACTTTTGAGTTATTAACAACCAAAAGTTTCCAGTGATTTGTTTTTGTTTCACTTTTAGTACACAAAAATATTTTTCTTTATCACACTTGCAGGATATAATCATATAAGATAATTTGATGTTGTACTGCTAGCCTGCCCCCCCCCCCCTCCCCCTCTATTATACGAGTGTGAAAAAAAATACAATTCTTTGTAGCCTTTCTTGATAACTAATCAAAATTTTGAACTTCAGTTAATGTTGTTTAAAGAATATATTATGAAAGTGAGATGGATTGCAGGTGGCAAGGGTGTATTGGTTGAGAATTGCAGGTAATAATTCATGCTCTACTATGAGCCAACTTACTTCACACACTATCATCTTGCAGCAGGGTAAGGTTTTTACCGAAATTTTAGAACTTGCAATGGGATGTACTTAAATATCAACTTTGTACAATAGCAGTATGTAGAAAGGAATTTAGGATAACCTGACTTTGGGTCTGCCAATGCTTAACACAAGCTTTATTTCATCAAGATATGGTTATTGCTCAAGTTGTGATAGGGTTTTAGATTAGCTTTAGGGTTAATATTACGTTTAGCTATGGATCCAGGATTAAGATTAAGAATTCATTTTGTGTTACAACATAACCACTAAACAATAGAGCAGGTCGTAAAAATCAGATACACGTTTCACAAACTGGGGGTCAGCGTATTTTTAGTTTACTAATACAAAGGAAGATTTTTAAACTGCCAATGATGAGTATCAATACATACAGCTCCACCAGCACCTGGAAAATCTGATTGTACGACACTTGTTCCTCAAGACATTTGCTCAACATCAATTTCCTACACTATTATCCAAATACTTAACTTCATCCCAGGATCCAACACTAGACCTTACCCTATACCTAACCTCAATCCCAATTGCAACCCTCGGCCTAACCCTACACATTTGACAAATAAAGCCTTGAGCAGTCGTTGCAGGAGCAAATGTTTGGTCACTCGAAATGCCATGACAGGCTCACTTGCTATGACTTTATCTGTTTCTTTACCAGATTTTAAAAAAAACATTGTAATATTCATTATTAATTACCAGTCCATTGTGCTTTGCTCCTAATATGTCAGGCACAAGAGGCCATCGCTTTCAGGTAAGGGGCAGAACATCAAGAGTGGAACCTCAAGGCACCCCCTGATCTGTCAACAGGAAGCCCTCCTTCTCAATCCCTGGAACAGAATTATAAACAATTCAATAAATATTAACCAAATTTGAAATAAATAGCACTATTTAATATTTTAGTTGTCTTTAACGTTTACTTTTTCAGCAAAATTTGAAGGTCAATTGTTTTTTTTTTTTTTTGCTTGTCGTTCCTTTTCATGTATTGGACCCCCCCCCCTTTCCCCCCGCACATGAGCTTAAAATGTTAATTCTAAAAAGAGAAACACTTCAGCAACGTGTTAGTAGACATGTGGATTCATACATAGCCATCCCATGAATACATACTTCTCAAACCAGCCCTTTGCATCCCCTTCAGTTTGACCTTGACCTCACCTATTCAAAATTTTGTTTTACTTGAAAAAAACTAAACAGATCAAGTTAGATCAAAAGTAAATATGTTTACCTTCTCTTGTGGTGGTCTGTTTTCTCCAGGACATTCTTGTTTCAAGCACATACTCCAAGAAAGCAAGCATTTGGTACTGCATTAACTGCGACAAGTCTCTGTACATGTTCCTGTAAAAGAGAGGGGGGGGGGTTTAATTCTTAGAATAAAAGGAAATGAGCATGATCATTAAAACATTGATGAGCATTTGCAGAATTAACTGTTCTCTTTTGGATTTTCTCTTTACCAAAAAATCCCTCCTTCATTATCTAACATTGAAATTTATATTCAATTCCTTGATCCAGATCTAGTTGATCTACAGTCTCTAGATGATCTAGATGCATGTCTCGTAACTGTTCATTCTATCAAATTGAAAAAACGCAAAATAGATATGGACCTAGATCTATATATGACAGAGAAAACTTAATCGTGTTTACAGCAAACAAAAATTCAAAGATAGAGCCTAGAGCAGAGGCAAATTAGGCTAAGCCAACAAAGAGTTTAAGAAACACACAGGCACCACTATACGTACGCCTTTATACAGTGTAGTCTAATTTTGGGGGATCATGTTTTAATTTGTTAGACAGCTATGAGACTCTGTACGACTACGAGTATCACATTCACAGGCAGGCACGGATCCAGGGGGCCGCCCCCCCCCCCCCCCACCCCCGCAAAAAATAAAAAGAGAGAGAGAGAGAGAGAAGGAAAAGAAGGAAAAGAAGGGAAAAGGAGAAAAGGGAAGGAAAAAGGAGAGAAAGGGAAAGAGAAGAAGAGGAAGAGGAAAGAAAAGGGGGAAAAGAAGGAGATCGGGGGGCCGAAAGAGCCTTGCCTCCCAGCTGTAACCTCTCCCCCTCCCCCATCAAAAAATAAAAGAGAAGGAAGGAAAGGGAAAGAAAAAAGTAAAGAGGGGATAAAGAGAAGGAAAAAAGAGGAAGAAGAAAGAAGGGGGAAATCAGTTGCAATTTTCCCGCCAACAAGTTGTAGTTCGGGGGGGGGGGGGCAAAGGCCCTTGCCTCCTCCTCCCTCCCCCCCCCCCCCCCCAAAAAAAGGAGAAGGAAGGGAAAGGGATAGAGAGCTAAAAGGGAACAAAAAGAGGAAGAAGAAAAGAAAAGGGTGATAAGAAGAGGAGAACAGTTGCGATTAATCCCGCCAACAATGTGTGGATCTGGGAGGGGGGGCCAAAAGGCCCTTGCCTCCCCCTAGCAAACCTAAAACAGAGAGTAGGAAGGGAAAGGAAAGGGAAATAGGAGAGAAAGGGAAAGAAAAAAAGAGAAAGAAGAAAGGTAGGGGAGATCAGTTACGTGTAGATCGGGGGGGGGGGTGGGGCACTGGCGTACTGATGGGGAAGGGGACTTGGGGGGGGGGGGTTGACAGATGGCCCCCAAATATAATTCAAACGTGGTTTATTTCTAATTCGATACCGGTGATTACCGTGATTTACAGATGTTGCTGAAATGACATAATTTTCTGAGATTTTCCTCAATATTTAATAAATTATACTATTTTAATGCGTTTGTGGGACAATGGCAAATTCATAAAGAAAGAAAGAATAGTGACGCCAATTAGTGTCCTGCCAGTGTCACAAATAAGGTATGCTGATATGCTCATCTGACCGCAATTAAATGCCAATACCCCTGAGCTTCTGGGGGTTCCACCCCTTGACCCCCGCAGGTTCTTCGCCCTTAGACACCACGCCAATTTCACAACGCTCTACTCGATCGTAAATACTCCCCCCCCCCCCCCCCACCTACTTTAATAGAGAAACGTCTAGCGGAACCTGTATGTAAGAGTGGGGTGGTGCAGATTTTTTTGTCTACCCCCCCCCCCCCCCCTCGGTTTTTTTTTTTGCTCATTTCGCCACTGCCGGTGTCACTATTATGTACCAATATTTGGCTTGCATAATTTCCCCCCCCCCCCCCCCCCCCCCCCCCCCCCCCCACTAAGAAATCCTGGATCCGCGCCTGTTCACAGGTAGTCCAATTAATTACTGGTCTGTAGGCCTAGGCCTCAAATTTTCTAGGCCTACTCTCGTACTCGTCTATCTCGGTATCTGGTCCAAATTTTGGCGCTTGTTCACAACTCATGTCAACTGTGACCATGCTTTTTAGTGTTAGCTATTAACTTTCTTCTGACCTAACAATGAAAGTAGTTTTTCAACAGTTGGACCTAAAAGTAACAAAAAGCTTGGATCATTGATGCAGCTAGCGCTAGTGAAGTGATCTGCCTATAGACCCTATACTCGTATCTAATTTTCAGAGAGGGTCTCGCCCGAAAGTTTGGGCAAGGATCAAGGAGTGACGATGGCAATCGAGCTGCAATAATTCTTACGACGATAAATAACGAATCAAAAGTTCGAGTGTAGATTACTCCTAAATTCATCAGATATAACCATTATAAACCACTTCACAATGTACAGACAAATCAGCAGATTCATACCTACAGCAAATATGTTTATAAATATGATTCAATTTACGAGATTTGAACGTAATTACAGCTGTACTCACCATCAAACTTTCAAAGAAAACCTCGAGCTCTCACTCTGTGTGGGTGACGTCATACATTAAATATGCATGCAGCGAAAGTCTTGTCTTCAGATCAGGCAATCGTACATAAAAACTTCCATCACATATAGAAAAATTTCTTATTAAAATAATGAGGATGATTACAGTTATCAATCATTATAACCAAATCTGCATACAAATAAGAAGGAGAATAGTGATACAGAGACTTATTTACCGCACGTAGGAGTTCTGATAAGAATGCACAAAGAACACAAAATGGAAAGGTGCCTGGAATAGAGGATAATAATATCAGTCAAGCTCATGAATATTCATATTATGGGCGTTACCAACCATTGACATTTGCATACACAATCGTTATTTAATATATAATGGAAATGCGCTTTTCATTATATATTATATAATGGAAATGCGCTGTTCATTATATATTATATAATGGAAATGTGCTTTTCATTATATATTATATAATGGAAATACGCCTCTCATTATATATTATATAATTGAAATGTGCTTTTCATTATATATTATATAATGGAATGTGCTTTTCATTATATATTATATAATGGAAATACACTTTTCATTATATATTATATAATGGAAATGTGCTTTCATTATATATTATATAATGGAAATAGGCTTTTCATTATTTATTATATAATGGAAATGTGTGTTTCATTATATATTATATAATGGAAATACGCTTTTAATTATATATTATATAATGGAAATGGCTTTTCATTATATATTATATAATGGAAATGTGCTTTTCATTATATATTATATAATGGAAATATGCTTTTCATTATATATAAATAATGAAAGTGTGAATTGTGATTATTTATAAATAATGGCAATTATATATAAATAATGCAAAGTTCTTTGTCATTATTTATAAATAATAAAAATGTGTTAAGAATTATATACAAATAAAAACGTACATTATCTTGCATTATATGTAAATAATGGTTATTATTTGTTAAATAATGATTATATAACATATAATTTGTCTATATAATTGTTTTACAAACGGCGCCTCATAACAAATCACAGAAATGCCAATCTCTGTTTGCACAATCACAACTTTGGAACTTCATTTACTGTACATATGTGTCTCCTTTGATTTTCTTCAAGCTTTAACTGATCTATTTCCCTTGTGTCCTTTCAAAGCAAACATGATGCCAGGGTGGATTTCCCCTTGAAATTTGTTTCCCCAAAGGGAGAACAAGAAAATGTGGTAGTGTTTATTAAACCTTGAAGGAAATTTGTTCCAGCCATCATGTGTATCAAAACTTTTTGAAGAAAAAAAAAGGGAAAAACTTACCTTCCTGCTTCATGCCAACATCCAGGCATTTTTTGAAACGACAGTAGGCACAGTGTTTACGATTCTGCAAAATAATCACACAGCTGCCAGCTAAGGCACAAGCTAAGCGCTCATTTCTCTTGTTTTGGATAGTTCGCTTGAAGAAACCTTTGCAGCTCTCACAAGAATGCGTGCCATAATGGTATCCAGAAACTACATCGGAACAAATAGGGCACTTTCCACCTGCTGCGTTCTTAACACCGACAGTGGCTTTTGACTCTGGGTCTCTTTTGGCATTAGTTGCTTGTGTCAAGTTCTGCCCATTTTCTGCGAAGCTACAGGTGTCAGCTTCACTTTTCACAACTATGTTTTCAATATGATTGTGCAACCTCTCTACCACACCTACATGTAAGTGTTCCGCTTCTCCTGAACTTGCCGTTCCCCCTGATGAAACATTGCTATGGCTTGTTGTCCTCTGGCAAGAATGAGCAACAAAATGTTGTTCCCCCTTTGGTTGTTTCAACGTCACATTTCTCGAGTTTGATGGAATCTCATAATCTGTTCTAATACTACTGTTTCCAATCTGTGGAAAGTTATCGGATTCATCTGCGGCGAGTGATGAAATTTGATGCACAGAAATAAGATCGTGGGAACCAATAACAGGGGCCCAGAGATCATTGACTGATATGGTGGAGAGATCACTTCCCATCCTTGCAAGATCTTGCGGTATTGCAGAATAGGCTTCACTTTGCGATTCACATAGTTGATGTTGCCTTGTGGGGGTTGTGCCTTTCGAACGGCCAAAGGCATCAGCTCTTGAAGGTTTTCTTGAAAGCCTTGAACCCAAGTTGTCAGGCCCGTCCCAGTGTGGCTCCTGATCAAACAACATAGTTGATATCGTACCTTTTGAATTTGATGGCCTTCTGGCAGATGACTCGGAATGGTACAATGCTCGATCACGTTGTTCACAAGCAGTTTTCAAATACTTTGCTAGAATCTCATCATCACGCATCTTATCCAACTCGGTTCTTTCCCCAATGGATAGTTTGGAGAGATCGTGATATCGAAGGACATTCTGCACTGTTGGCCTTCCAGTTACGGGATCCACACCTCTAAGGCACTGTTCCAAGATTGTGTCCGGACTCTGCAGCTGTTGGCTCGCCTGTTCCTGCCTATCCGCACTCTCCCACTTGAAACGAGGTAAACTGCTACTCGTTGCTTTCTTTCGTTTGCGTAAGTCTAGTGCCTCTGCTTGCTCAACACCATGACAAGACAGCTCTGCATCTGACACTGGTATTCTACCGTTTGCTTGAGCACTTGCAGTTCTTTTGGACGAGTAAAATTTGTTAAGCAAACGACGCTTAATAGGGATGCATCTTTCTGTTGATGTGGTAGGACTGGCAGGTTGTTCTTGCCCAAGACTTTGGTGCTCATGATGTCTATACATTGTCAGACATCATCTTGGAATGCAGAAATCATCGTTCCTCCTCCTCTTGTTGTTTGCATGAATCATATTGGGAAGTCCACATCAAAGTGCATCGATCTGTACAAAGAATTTAAGAAAATGGATTATGTATTTAATGAAACCGATTCTTTTTATGAAGTTGGGGGAATGGTACATCATCATGTCTGTACAATTGTAGTTCTGTACAATTGAAAGTTTTCAAAGTCGGTGCATATTTTCATTGTGTACCAATTAGTAGACCTAGTACATGGTCACAGAGGCTACATCTCTAATTACTATTGCATTGCCATCGATAAGAAACTGAAGCCTGGGCCCTGGCCATTCCAGCAAAGTAACTCCAGGAAGTTCCGACGCCGATGTCGAAGCTTTAGCAGGTGCATCAGCAAATATTCAAACAGCGGGTTGGGAAACATTATCTCAAAATATGCAAAGGGAATAATTACAATTTGGACTTTAATAGGTTGCTCGACTCCTCTGGGCACCTTTTGACAAGGCCTCGTGACTCTGGCTAAGCGGCTGAGACGAGTCTAGATACCCGGGGTGAACGCGCAACCGCCCCGAGAGCCTTTTGCAATCTAGATATTACTGCTCCGCATGAATTATTCATAGCATTGGATTTATTGAACAAATAGAATGGGCCCATCCCCCAGTTGGCTTCGTTCGTGACTCGTTCATTATCAAAACATGTAAGAAAAGGTAAAAGACGTAAATACGTTATATTCAAATTTAATTTAAATGCAAAATTACAATGAAATAGGAAGCATTTGATGACTTATGCTAACAATCATTAGTGAGATAATTGGACTTTCCCTGTATATAAAATGAACCAGTCTCGTTTTCATTCCATGTAGAGGTCAGTGGTCATAGCCCGAACGTCAGTTCATCTATAGTAGGTCAATGTTTGTACTATAAGTACAGTTTACTCTGTGTGTTTGTGATGGATACTATATGCTGATGTAATGCAAGGATACGTTCGATGATTGGACGCTAACATTTCGGTAGAGAATTCCAGTCGGAAACAAAGGTTAACATAAGAAATCCAAACTGGATTACCAAAGGCTACCGTGGCTGTGCTTCTTGCTCTGTCATTCACTCGCGATTAGTCTCTTTTTAGTTGCTCGGCGTCTATCAGACATGTGGCCTTGTTCAAAGGCTACTGGGCATCTGGCTGGCCACTTGAAATTATAATTTGAAGAAGTCTTATATGGGGGAAAAAGGGGTGATTCTTCGTCCTACCCCGACGATTCTTCCATGTTGTATCGTCGACTCAACATGGCGAAGAGAAAGTACGCATGCGCGGTAGTCAGTAGAGGCGCTGGTCCGAGAATGAGGATCGTCCTCATAAACGCGGACAAAATGCGTCCTCATAAACAAGGATCGTCTGCATTTTCACGGACATTTTTTTTCATCGGCGCTCTGCGGGTTTCGGGTTACCGAACCGCCCGCTGGCAATGCCAAATTTGGATTCCCCAGGGGAAATTAACCCTAGATGACCGTCTACTTGTATGGGTTGTCCGTCTTCCAAAGGATTTATTGCTCATAATGTGGAGGTCTCTGTACAAAGTCAATGTAAAATGCATCAAGAAAATCATCCCGTAATCCGTTTTTTGCATCGCCAATGTGCCGATCAAAAATATGGAACATCTGCATTTTTTGCAGACGATCCTTGTTTTTGAGGGCATTAGTCCACATTTACAAAGATAATCTTTGTTTATGAAGACGATCCTTACCGGTATTCTCGAACCAGCGCCCCTACTGGTAGTGCCTACTTTCTCTTCATCGGCGTCGGAGCTTCCTGGAGTTAAATACAGCATGTAGATCTACAGCAAAGCAGATTAGAGAGTCAATGCTAATGCATATATTGAACTCTAGCGCTGCACTAGATCTATGTGCTAATAGGAAGCAAATGCACACATGAATAGTCAATACACAAATCACACATAGACTTAGTCTTAGCGAGTTGAAAACATTGAATTTACTATTACTAGCCTACTCACCCTACTGCACTGCTAGATTGTCACTAGATCTAGATCATGATAGCTACAGTACCGATTTTGAGTGAAATCAGTTGAGTTTTGTACAGTGGTCAGGTGGTGTTTGAAATGTTGAGAATCAATGGAACAGGTTTTAATACACAGCCAGGATAGCAGTAATGCAGCTGTGATGTGATGTGTGGCCCCGGAGTGGCGCTGGCGCAGGCGCTAGCCTGGCAAGCGTTCGTTCGGTTTTAACTTAGTACCGGTACAGCCTACAGCTATGCTAGGTTACACACATTCATTGATGAAAATATTGTTTAACGTGATCAAAGTCACAGATTTTTGTACCTACCATGCATTTTACGATGAATGCACCGTGCCATAAACATCATAATTCACGACCCGACACTACATACAGGACCCGTCCGTCCTCTGGTTCCATCCATATTTCTATGGCATATCGGCGTAATACAGAAGCAAATCATGCAATGCGCATGCGCATGCCGTCAGAGATAACTAATTAAGACGTAGCATAATGAAAGAGATAGTTGTGACATGCGCAAGTCATGGAGCGCTGAAATAATTTCCTCCCTTAGCATCTGGGAGGTACTATTTGGAGCTCAAATGGATAGTGTGTACCCTTGCGCATGTCGCAACCTTTTCTCAGTACGCTGTGGCTGGAGCTAAACAACTGACTGTGCATGGATCCGTTGGCTATAGGAACAAACTCGGACTTGGTGAAAAATTGGAGGCCTACTTTAAAAAGCCATATTCTCTTAATTGGAGCAAGTATGTTTAACTGACAATGACATACATTTTCAATTTTTTTCCATAGAGTTATTTCTAAATAATCGCTTTTAAAATATACAGTCAAAAACATATGCAAACTAAATCTTTAATTTAGGGTAATACAAGCGCGGATCCAGGATTTCTTGGGGGGGGGGGGGCAAATTTTAAATTATGCGAGCCAAATATCGGAGACCAGCATTGACGTAATAGGGGGTGGATGCAGGGAGGGGCGAGTTCGATCCCCCTCCCTCCTCATTAAATTATTAGAGAAAGAAGACGATTCGTTGTTCCGTTCTCGTCTCTTAAATTCTCGTCTGAATTCAGTTTCACACCCCCCCCCCCCCTTCTGCGCGAAGCGCAGAAGCTTTGACGTTTCATTACATTAATAGAGAAAGAAGACGATTCGTTGTACCGTTCTCGTCTCTTAAATTCTCGTCTGAATTGAATTCAGTTTCACCCCCACCCCCCCCCCCCCCCCCCCCCCCCCCCCCTCCTGCGCGGAGCGCGGAAGCTTTACGTTTCATAAAATCTTAGAGAAAGAAGACGATTCGTTGTACCCGGCGTTCTCGACTCTTAATCCTTGTCTGAATTTCAAAAATGTTCTTTGTCTGCTCCTTTTTTTCCCCACTTTTGTCTCCTCTTTTTTTGGGGGGGGGGGGCTGGCGTTTTTTGGGGGGACCGCCCCCCCCCCCCGCCCTTGCTAAGCGCCTGCGGTCAGATGAACATAATTTGATACAATAAAATTGTCCGGTAGCTCAGGGGTTTAATGCAATACATTACCGTCAGATGAGCATCTAAGGGCCCGCCTTAGGGCCCTAGAATCCAGGGGGCAGAGCCTCCGGAAGCTTTGGGGTTTTAGGCATTTAATCACAGTCAGATGAGCATAGTTTGATATCTCATTATTTTGTGACACTGGCAGTTAACTATTCTCTCTTTCTTGCTCTCTTTCTTTCTATTTCTCTTTAACCACAAAAAAAAGTAGGGGGGAGGGAGCTCGAGGCTCCCGATCCCCCCCCCCCCCCCCCCCGTTCCTGACATGTAGGCATCTCATATATCTTGCCTGGCTGTAAACCCAAGGAATTTGTCATTTTCCAACAAACGCATACAAAAGTATAATTTACTAAATATTGAGGAAAAAAAATTCGGAAAATTATGTCATTTTAGCATTATTTGTAAACGACCGTTATGGAATTAGAATTATATTTCCCCCAAGCCCCCCCCCCCCCCCCCATTACACCTTGTTGGCGGGAAAATCGGACCTGATCTCCCCTACCTTTTTTCTTTCTCTTTGTGCTTCTTCTTTCCCTTTCTCTCCTCTTTCCCTTTCACTTCCCTTCTTTCTCTCTCGTTTATGGGTAAGGGGGTGGGGGGGGGGGGGGGAGGCAAGGGCCTTTCGGCCCTTCTTTTCTTTTCTTCTCCTTCCCTTTATCTCCTCTTTTCCTTTTTCTTTCCCTTTCCTTCCTTCTCTCTTATTATTTTGATGGGGGGGGGAGGCAAGGCCCTTTCAGCGCCGATCTCACAGTTTCCCCCCTTTTCTTTACTTCTTCCTCTTAAATCTTTCTCTCCTCTTTCCCTTTTCCCTCTCTCTCTCTCTCTCTCTCTCTCTCTTTTGCGGGGGGGGGCAAGGCCCGCTCGCCCCCCTAGATCCGCGCCTGGGGTATTATAATAATAATAATATGGATATTAATGTAACGCCGGTATCCGCCAGGCTCTGACGCTCATGGCGCTGTACAAAATTATAACAATATTATGTTCTAAAATTAAAATCGCATTGCAATGACGAGTTTGTTCATACCAGGGGCGGATCCGGCGGCGAGGAAGGGGCCCCAATTCGTGATAAAATATTAAGCGGCGACTTAGCCGACCGGCCGAATAAGCGGGGTATACGTAGTGAGCACTATTTGTTTAGTTTGGCTCAACGGGGGGGGGGGGGGGGGGGGGGGGGGGGGGGTATGGACCTCTATTTTTTTTTTTAATCAACACCCACCCCCCTCCCCCACCCTTTGAGCATTAACAAAAAAACACAAACAAAATCCATGGGGGGGGGGGGGGTCTTCTCCTTCTTCTTTATTTTGGCCAGGGGAGGGGGTTCATGCTCATGTACTTGTGGGTGTAATGTACATGCACATTATTGGGTCACTGTAGATAGTAATCGTGGTTTAGAATATCGAGACGAAGTTATACCCAGACGTTGTGTGCCACCTGGTTGTATTTTTTCTACGGACAGTTGAATTGAAACGGCAATTTTAAGAAGTTTACAAGCAACATTTCATAGATCATCTAAAGGACATTATTCATGATTAGAGCTATATTTTGATGAACATTTTTCGTTAAATCCGAATACAAAAGAGAAGGTTTTATGTCCAGACACCCATAACCCTTAACCCAATCGTACGTGGGTTGACTGGCACGCCCACGTATTTAGACTACCCCTTTTTCTATTCTCATCCTCCTCCTCCTCCTCTCCTCCTCTTTGTTTTTCTTATGTTTCTTCTTCTCCTTCTTTATAATTCTTCTTTCCCTTGTTTCCAATTATTTTTTCTCTCAACAGGCATAGAGTAGCCTAAAGATGTACTTACAAAATTGTATAAGACTAGTATCAACTTAACATAAATGCCACTTCTTCTATGTAACATTCCAATCGAAATAGGACAATATACATACATTTGAGCTAAGCTGACAGATATGTATATGAAATTCACTTTAAATGCAGGGCATTTACAATATACCTCATGGAGATATGATGTCAATTCAGTTCGATTCATTTCAAGGAAGGAACAAAAGATAACGAATAATTAGTCTATACATTTCTTTCTTATCTTTGATTATGTGTATATAATTATATATAATGCGAAAAGGAAATGTTTGGAAAAGATTTGAAAAATGTCTCAGTCGGGAATCGAACCCGGGACCACCACGCGTTACCAACGAGACGGACTTGTGGCTTCAGCGACACCAAACTTATTGACCGATATACCAATAGATTATTCAGAAAATAATTCCTCTGTCGGGGCAAATGAGTTTTTGGGCAATGGCAAGCCACATCCAAACGAATGCTTTAATTGTGATACATGTATGATTTAGAATGATGGTCAACAAGATGATAATGTCAGGAAATAATCATAGCACTATATTATAATTAAAACAGTTGAAATAAAAGTCATTGACAGTTCAACTCTCGATCGAGGACTTAAATTTCAACTGTTTTAATTATCATTTTTATATTTCATTTGTATTCCCTTAAATATGGTTCGGCCTTAACTCAGTCAAATCGGCGAAAGTCATAACCGATTCTAAATTGACAATTTTATATAAACAATATTTTTTGTTTTTTGTTGGTCATACGATAATTATGTAGTGTTACTTTGTTGAATGTTTTATTGTCCTCATCAGGCGGTGTCACACAGAGGCCAACAAATCCGGATTTTAGTTATCCGGTTTTTAATTATCCTCTTTTGGCTGTCTGACATCAATTATTCCTTCAAAAATCCCTTCAAAAAACCTCATATGAAGCAAGATTATTCTCTCTTGAAAGGATTTTTGAAGGGTTTTTTAAAGGGATTTTTCTGTCTGACACCAATGTTGAAATAATCCCTTTTAATAAGCATTGTGACATCACACGTTTAAATGCGCGCATTTAAACGTGTGATGTCATACTACCTAAACGGCGCATATACTTTCGATTGAACGTGTGATGTCACAATGCTTATGTACCTAAACGGCGCATACTTCGATTGAACATGTAATGTCACAATGCTTTATCTACCTAAACGGCGCGTGCGCAATGGCCCATCAAAATCCGGATTTTAGTTATCCGGATTATTCGTAGCCTGTCTGTCACCGACTCAAATGAAAAAACTAGATTTCTAAAATCTGGTTTATTCAAGATGGGTCGGGATTTTTCTGTGTGACACCGCTTATCGTTGTGACTGGCTTCTAACTGATCATACCATACTTATAATCTGGAAATGATGACTGAATACGCATGATCGATGGTAATACCCAAGAATCATGCAAGAGAGAGCTATTTATACACAGTGCCCCCACTGCACTAGTTTGGCCAGGAGGGATTAGACCTCCCTGCATGGTCACTGTCAGTGACAGGTGGTTATTTCATCAAATCAGAATTTAGCAAGACAGCCGCCTGTCTAATTCAATTAACATAAGAAAAAGGGGACCGAGGGTCATTGTTTCCTTTATAGAGGGCGCAAGTAGCTATAAGGGCTGCAAGAGACCGGAGGCGCATATTTTTTTTTACACAACTGTTTAGCCATTTTCGCGAAAAAATTCCAAGAAGTGCTCTGGTGAAAGAGTCTAGGTCGTCAGCGCACTGTGTGCAAGCACGTACACCCAGGGAAGGGAAGATGATAGAAAGGGGAAAACAATTAGGATAGTGGAGAGGATATGGAGAAGGAACAACAAGGACATACATAAGGAAAGAGAAGAGGATAAGTCAAAGGAAGAACATAGAAATACATAATTGAAGAGCTAAGAGGATCATAGATCTAGACTAAGGAAAAACAGGGAAATACATAAAGAAGGAGAATTTTTTAAAGGGAATCTATCATTAAAACAAAGAAATAGATGCATGACGAAGGAGAAAAGGATAGATTGAAGGAGAAACAAAGAAATACATAAAACAAAAGAGAAGAGGTTAGAATAAAAGAGAACAAAATAAATACATAACGAATGAGAACTGGGGGATAGATTGAAGGAAAAACAAAGAAAATTAACGAATGAGAAAAAGGATAGATTGAAGATAAAAAAAAAGAAATACATGACAAAAGAGAAGAGGATAGATTGAAGGAGAACACCAAAATACATAATGAAAGAGAAGAGAGGATAGATATACCCCGAAACAAATAACGAGTATGTACACATGTACAACTCCAGCAATCCAACAAAACTGCTAAGGGTAATGCAACTAATGCTAGACTCTGTCTCTAGTCGTTTGCACAGTATATTTGACTGAAGTGGCTAAACAGTTGTGTAAAAAAAATATGCGCAGACCGGAGAGCGCTATCTAGAATCACCAATCACTTGCATGATAGTCATGTTAGATCAGATTTTGACAAAATGTTAAACCCATAATGGTAGGGAGGGAGAGAAAGAGAGAGAGAGAGAGGGAGAGAGGGAGAGGGACAGAGAGGGGAGAGAGAGAGAGAGAGAGAGAGACTCAACAATATATTTTATATATAAATGTATATAAGATGGAAGCAGTATTTTAAATATGCCACGAAACACCCTTTCAATTATTTTCTAGGGATAAGAGGACTTTTTTTTTGGGGGGGGGGGGGGGAGGGGATCTCTATTTTTTTTTTTTCTTTTTTTTTTTATTAAAAACAAAAAAAAACACACAAAAGAAACGTTAAAGGGGGGGGGGGTAACCCCCCCCCCCCCCCCTCTGCGCACGCGCCTGACTTGGTGCATACTGTTTTGAACGATATATACAAGGGAAGCCCATGTTTATTCAGTTATGGATGTCGTGAGCTTGAACTGCCTATTCCATTATTCCATCACATGTGCTGTCCTTCCATTTTTCTCACAAAATTTATGAAAGTCAAAATTGTTATTCGCAAACATTTCATCAGGTTCAGTGACGTCATCCTGGTGTATTCATCGTTGACAAAAATAAATGTGGGGGATTCCCCACTGCATAGCCGACTTTTCGCTTTTGGATCATATCACTTGCAAAATGGGGGTTCTGATATATATGAGTTTTAATAAATCAATGCGTTTTTACATAATTTTTGATTGTTTTCATTCATATCTAATTATATAAGTAATAAATTAAAAATATGAAATGTATTGATTTATATGAGTAATGAAAAGCCATTCACAAAATATAAAATTAATAATTTGATCCCTCTTTAATAAATGCAACCGCGCTTCAGCAACCTCAGATCATATCAGCGCTAGCGCAGATAGCCACGCACGCAATGCGATGCCATCAACCAGCCCCATCAACCACCATCAGCTATACCTATATCTGCACGCTTAATTTATCAAACGCAAAAAACAAACGGGAAATGTGACTTTACAACCGCACCTTCTTCTTCTTCTTGGTTTCTTCCAGGTTTAGAAAACTGCGGTGAGTGTATCCTTCGCACCGTGTACTTCTACTTAGTCTAATCATAGTGTACATGAAATGATTTACTCGCCTGTCATTTACATGAATGGGACCCGAGGCCGAAAGACGTTTACTTAGGCCTAGATCTACGTTACATTTCGTATAATTTTTCAATCGCGATGGCTGCCGAAGTCAAAATTAAAAAGCCTAGCTACAAGGGTATCTTGTTGTATATTCAGAATCATTTGTCTAAAGAAGAAAGACATAATTGGGCGTTTTTAAAAGATTTACCCCCGAAGGATACAGAAGATTGTGAGAAAAATTTCCTCTATTTCTGGTCTTACATGATGAAGAGACAAAACGATTTTAATTATAGCGAAGACGATCCGAGTGACCTGTTTGATGATCTGCTTCAGATTGGACGTCAGGATCTACACAACAAAGCCAAGGAGAAGTATGGTAATTATTATCATGATTATTTAGCGTGCATCAAGAATATAGCCTGTCATAATCATTCATATACAGTATGCATTTAAATTCTTCTGCGATTATATTTTCACAACTTAATATGGGAATTATGATTTCAATTTTTGTTATTTGTTCATATTTCATTAAAGTTATCAATATTGGCTCTTGGTACAAATAACAGTAAATAATTCTTCTGATGATTCTTATTCAATATTCACTTCAAAATGCTGATTATATATATTCAGAGGATTTTTTATTTTGGGGCCTGATAATGGGCCAACCTGCCAATAAATAATGTCCAAACCTCAGTTTTTCATCAAATCGAATTGCGTTATCGAGACCGCCGAGAGCGTTTCCCTTGTTTGATGTTGACGCCGATATGAATTTTTGTAGTTGTATTATTATATCAAACACAAATTTGCAAAGCTGTGACTTATCTTGTGAGGTCCCCTCCAATTCGCTCTGTACAGAATTATCAAGTGTAATTTTAATCTGAATGTTAATTGTTAATAAGTATAGTGTACAGCTAATTTCACCAAACCTGTAAACTCCACATTATCCATTGCTGCCAACCATTCTTTTTTCAGAGGAATAATTGCTATGTATTTTGGGGGCTTTAAACAAATGCGAGGAACATTGGCCTTTTTTTGAAAACCTTACTGTGCATTCTGGTTCTGGTTCTGGATTTTACTCCGACAAAGCGGGATTGGTGGAATTATTTCCGTTTGGTGGTGTTTGTGAAAAAATCACAGAGCCTTCTATTAAAAATATCTATGTTTGGGGCGTCTAGGATGTAATGAAGCAGGTCGTTCCAATATTTAACAGTCCATGGGAAGAAGCTATTTGAGTAAATTGTTGAGTTGGTTCTACATGTAGGTCTCTGGAAGGATGCTGGGTGTGTGCGTCTAAGTTGGCGAGATGGTCTGGTTAAGTAGGGGTTCCAGTCGACGTCTACGAGGTTTGCGTTGATTTTGTACATCATATTATGTCGGGCAATCTTTCGTCTGGTCTCGAGGTCAGTCCACTGGAGAGAGGCTATAATGGCTGTCACGCTGGATTCTCTTGAGTAGTCTGTGAGACACATTCTTGCAGCAGCTCTTTGGACCATGTCAAGCTGATGTTTTCTTTTTGTGTGCTAGGGTACCATGCAGTCGTGCCGTACTCTTGTATGGGTTGTACAAGTGATAGATAAAGTCGTGATTTGACGTCAACAGTACATGCTTTGAAGTTGCGTCGGATGACTCCCAGTACCTTCTTAGAGCTCTTGGTGATGTTGTTAATGTGAGAGTTCCATTTTAGGTCGCTGCTGAAGGTGATGCCCAAGTAGGTGGCTAGAAGTTACCTGTAGAGTGTTGTTACATAATTTATAGGGGGTAATGTTTGGAGATTTCTTTGATGTGAAATGCATGGTAAAGCATTTGTCCGTGTTAAAAGCCATCTGCCAGTCGGAGCCCCATTTAGAGAGGGTGTCGAGATCCTTTTGAAGAGTTTGGGGGTCCATTTCTGAATTTATTTCCCGGTAGATTAATGCATCGTCAGCGAATAAACGTATCTTGGTACCTTTGGAGATACAGTCAGGCATGTTGTTAATGTAAATTAAGAAGCACAGAGGGCCGATGACAGTACCCTGTGGGACACTTGATGTAACTTCTGTAGCTGAAGATAGTTTCCCATCAAGTGTTACTCTTTGTTTTCTTTGTGTTAGAAAGGTTTTAATCCAGCCAAGTTCTTTTCCTCTTATCCCGTAGTGGTGGAGCTTCTTGAGCAGTCGTGTATGCGGAACGCGATCAAACGCTTTTGAGAAGTCCAATAGAACAGCATCGACTTGCTTATGTATATCAAAATATTTTGCGATGTCGCTGATTGTAGATACAAGTTGAGTATCACACCCCCTTCTTTTACGAAAACCATGTTGAGAGTCCACAAGAATATCAAGTCGGTCTAAATGTGACATGATGTTGCTAGTAAGGATATGTTCAAAGATCTTACAGCAGATTGAGGTTAGTGCGATCGGTCTATAGTTGCCGGGTGAGTTTTTGTTGCCCTTTTTGAAGATAGGTGTGATGTGGGACATAAGCCAGTCAGAGGGAAGATCACCTGAGTTAAGGCTTTGGTTAAAGATTGCTGATAAAATGGGAGCCAGCTCCTTGGCACACTCTTTGAGGAATCTACATGTAGCTGGCAATTGATCAGGCCCATTCTATTCATTGTTTCCATCTTTTGTTTCACCTAAATCTGAATTATAGAAGAGCTTAAACAGTACAAGCTGTCTCAGGCAAGAAGCCAAGGACAAGGATCTACAAGCCCTTCTGGATCAGGAACTCCTGCTCCAAACCTGCCGTCTCCTGGATCACCTGGTGTGGGTAGTGATATTGGCCGAGGACCTGGTCCTTCCCCGAGCACGCCCCAGGGTCAGCTTCCTGCGTATTATCCAGTCTCTCCACTAAACAACAGCCCAAGATATCATCAAGGTGGTCCTTCACCTGGAGCAACAGCTTATGAAGCACCACGCAAAGTCCCAGGATCACAGTCTCCGGGTTCAATACCAGCAGCCTCCCCTACCACTTCACCGGGAGCAACAGCTTATGAAGCACCACGCAAAGTCCCAAGCTCACAGTCTCCGGGTTCAATACCAGCAGCCTCCCCTACCACTTCACCGGGAGCAACAGCTTATGAAGCACCACGCAAAGTCCCAAGCTCACAGTCTCCAGGTTCAACACCAGCAGCTTCCCCTACCAGTGGATACTTACAACAGAGCTCAGCATTAAGCCCAAATCCTGGTGCTGGTACTACTTTTAGTCATGGATTAAAGAGCACAGAGCCATTACCACCAATGCCAAGCAATGTCGTCCAAATGCAAGGTTTACCCAGTGACCAGTCATCTGCTGGAGTGGTCCATGCCAACACTGGTCAAGATGTCAGTTCAGTTAGTTTACAGACATCTCTAAAAAGCAAGGAACCTGTGGGTAATCCTGCGGTTGTTAATCATGGCTTGAAGAGCTCAGAGCCACTCCGAACAATGCAAAGTAATATGGTACCAGGGCAAGGTGAGCCTGTTTCAGTGACCCCTGCTCATCTGTCTCCTGCTAACTCAAACTCTCTCATCAGTACAGCATCACCACTTATAAGCCATTCAGGTAATGCTAATGCTGAGCAGCTTCCACATTCCAGTTCAGGATCGATGATGAGTTCAGCAAGATCTTTGCGCACTAGTGATGAACAAGCAGCTTCACAGATACAAGTTCAAGCACACGCTTCATCCCTTGAGGCCGCTGGTAACATCAATCACACCCTAGAACATGCGATCCAACCATCCTCAACACCTGATCATCTAAGGAACATCCAACGACTTGTCGATCTCAGTCTCAGTGAGGCAGAGGAGATTGCGTCAAGGATTACAAGTAATCCCAACCAACAGCAGCCTGTCATTGGTGAAGGCGACACTGTAAGAGACAGTGCAAATGCCCCTTCTGGAGCAGAGGTTCTCCCAGCAGATGTTGTCAGAGACTCTGCATCAGATCAAGAGCAAGTTGGTGAAACTGCAGCAGGGGCACTTGCTTCCATTCTTGACTTCCGCCAACCTCGAAAAGACAAGAAGGTTACAAAAAAATTGAGAGGCTACCAGGTGGAATTAGCTGACCCAGGACTCCAAGGTGTCAACTATGTCATCTGTGCTCCAACGGGGTCAGGAAAGACCATCACCGCAGCTTACATTTGCCACACAAATATGATGAAAATGAAGAAAGCTGGCAAAGAAGATGACTTCAAAGCCATCTTCATTGTTCCTACAAGGCACTTGAAGAAGCAGCAGCGAGATGGCTTCCAAGATTTATTCGTTCCAGGGCAGGTTACATCTCTTGCGGAAGGGCAGATGTTCCGTGATGCCTTTGAGAAAGGCAATGTAAGAGTCTTGATGATAACTTCCCAGGTGTTAGTGAATGCCCTGACCCAGAATGAATTCAAGCTACCTGAAGTGTCTATGCTGGTATTTGATGAATGTCACCACACGACCTTGAACCACCCTTACAATGAAATCATGCGACATTACCTGAGGGAGAAGAAAGCTGTTCTAGTTCAGCAAGGAGTACCTGAAGAGCAGTGGCCTATAGGACAGCCTGTAGGACGTCCCCAAGGAGGAATACCCCAGGTGGTTGGTAAGTTGTCCAAATTTAAATACATTCTTAAATTTTTGCCTGCTTAGGCTGCCTGTTCAAATATGCAGCAGCAAAGCGTTGCAAAAAAACACCTACATTTTTGTTTGTGTATTTATAAGCGAATGGCAATTTTGAGGATACATATTTTTTTTAAACGCTGTGGCGCCATCGGCAATTAAAAATTAACATTATTATTCTAATCGTGTATTATGAGATTTTCGAATCATCATAATTAGACAAATGGGCTACCGGTATGTATTGCTGAAAATTACAAACAAAGAAAGGCACCAGACAATTACAGAATGAGACATGGAAATCTTTAAGTTATTTTGAGTCATAAATAATTACAGTTTCAGGAGCAGTTATGTTGCTGGGATGTTGCTACCTAATTTCTTTCACATGTGAATAAAAAGTATATTAACATGAAAGTTGAGCAATTTATTTTCTATCTTTACAAGGGGACTGTATTTTAAAGGGAAAGTCTACCCCCAAAATAAGTTTGTTTCGATAGAGGCAGAATAATAAGAAAATCAGGTGCGTGAAAGTTTGAGCAAATTCTGAATGAAAATAAGAAAGTTATGAATTATTGAAGTTGTGATCAATCAAATACAAATTGGCAACTCTGTGACTTATTATACGAGCTCTCCTTCATTTGCTTTGTGCATAATATTCCATAAAATCATGTTTTCTTCGTTATTGATGACGGAATATATATTTGTTCCTTGCAGGGGGAGTATAGAAACATATTTGCAATTATTATATTTAGGGTGCATGTATGGTTGAAATTTTTCTTGAGGGAAAATGAAAATTTTAGATTTTTTTAGTACTAAGCAAATGGAAGTTGAGCTCGCATTTAACGTCATAGAGTTGCCAATTTGTGTTTGATTGATCACAACTTAAAAAATCCTAACTTCCTTATTTTTAATCGGAATTTGCTCAAACTTTCACTGACTTGTTTCTCTCATTTTTCTACTCCTATTAAAACTAACTTAATTTCAGGGTGGACTTCCCCTTTAAAGAGTTGGGAATGAATTGATTCAAATTGATTGCAACTCAAAATTAATCGCAACTGTGTATTAAAGGGATTGGGTATATTTGTCTCAGATTTTAAACAAAATCCTGGATTTAGCTCATACTGCAATCATAATTACAAACCTTTAGGTCAGTCAGGAATCCTTTGATGTTTACAAGCTGATCGCCCGTCTGATTATCAAGATATTTATGATTGGCATTCAAAATTTCATCAACCCTTTTCCCAACGGTTTTTATAACACTTCAGTCTATTGGCCGGGGAAAATTAAAAATCGGTCACTCAAAGATTTTTTACTTGTTTGAGGCACTTCATGATCATTTTGAGGCGCAACTTTTTTAGGCCTTCAACATTACACCATATCACAGATGCTGATCATGCATCTCAGATTTGGCATTTTTGAACAATTAATGCTTTTAAGAGATAGTAGATGCGTTTAATTATCTCCTCGCGGACGAAGTCGGAGGGGATATAGAATCGCTGCCGTCCGCCAGTCCATGCGTCCGTCCGTGCGTCCGTAACAAATTTGGTTTCCAATTGATAACTTCAGTAATGATTGATGGATTTTAATGAAATTTGATATGAAAGTACATGATATCAAAATACAGGCTAAGTTTGATTGTGGAGTACGTAGGTCAAAGGTCAAAGGTCATAGCTCATTAAATATGCGATAAAATACACATCTGGTTTCCGATCGATAACATTAGTAATGTTTGACAGATTTTAATGAAATTTGATATGAAGGTTCATGGTATCAAAACACAGCCTACAGTAAGTTCAATTTCCGAGTATGTAGGTCAAAGGTCATAGCTCATTAAATATGCGAATCTGGTTTCCATTCCATAACTTGAGTAATATTTGACAAATTTTAATGAAATTCGATATGAAGGTACATGGTATCAAAACACAGCCTTAGTTCAATTGCTGAGTATGTAGGTCAAAGGTGAAAGGTCATAGCTCATTAAATATGCAAAAACACCTAATTACATATGTGAAAATGTGGTTAACTTCCTTGCCTAGTAATATAATAGACCAATGGAGGTAACCCTGCGAGGGGATGCTACGCTTTGCGTTGACTTGTTTCAAGTTATGATTGCTTCAAATCAATCATAACTCTTTATAAGACATGGCCCAACACTTAAAGGGACATTTCAGAATGTTAAATCTGAGATGCTCGGCCCTACGTGATATCAGTGTCTGTGATATGGTGTTACATTAAAGCCCTACAAAAATTGCGCTTCAAAGTGATCAAGAAGTGCCTCAAAAAAGTAAAAACCGTTGAGTGACCAGTTTTTCCATTCTCATTTTCCCCAATAGACTGTAGTGTTATGAAAACCGTTTGGCAAACGCAAAATTTGATTTTGTTTTTTCAATCATAAATATCTTGATAATCAGACAGGCGATCGGCTTGTAAGAGTCATGAGGTTCCTAACTGACCTAAATGTTTATAATTTTCATTGCAACATGAGCTAAAACAAGGATTTTTTTGAAGGATCTAAGACAAAGTTACCTGATCCCTTTAATGTTCTTTTATTCTGTTTGAATACTTTTCTTTCTTACATGTAGGGCTTACTGCATCGGTTGGTACAGGCACCTCTGACGATGCACATGGTCACATTGTTACACTATGTGCAAACTTGGATAGCTATGGAGTCATGATTGTCAACAAGCCAGAAAGTGTGCAAGAAATGAAGAAATACAACAAGCCACCAGAACAGGATCAAATACTTGCACTCCCTAGGAGAGAGTTAACCCCAGAAAGTTCCCGCTTTATTGAGATCCTGGAAACCATCATGGAAGAGATTGAGCAGAAAGTCCTAGCCAAGCACCAGGACGACCATGAAGGCATCACTTTCTCCTCCCCAACATATGGAACTCAAGTGTACGAGAACTGGATTGCCAAGATTCGTGCTGATGCAGAGCTTCGCTTCCCCAACCTTGAAATCTGTGCCAATTATCTGTTCCGTCTAAACCTAGCCCTACTGCTGTACGAGGACTTACGCGCCACGGACGCACTAGAGTCTATGGAGATCTTCAAGCTACAGACAAGGGGAAGACAGGATGAATTAAGGGATGGGCGACACTGCAGGATGATCTATGAGGAGAACTTGCAGGAGCTGAAGGAACTAGCAAGTAAGGAGAATCCGTTGTCTAATCCCAAGTTACTCTGTCTACATGAGATGATCAAGAAGGTGTATAGCAAGGAACCTAAATCAAAAGGTGAGTATCGTGGATTTTATCAGATCTTCAATTGTAAAGCCAAATATATGATGTAAACCACTGCCACAAAATAAAATAATTTTATGTGTGATGGAATGTTAAGTGGGGGAAAAGGTAGTGTCAAATAATACCTTTTATATCTTCATGAATATATAAATACGTTTTATTAAATAGTTGTACCATATGTATGAAATAAAGAATTAACATACTTTTCAGCTTTGCACAAAACAACTCCTGTATTATTCTTTGAAATGCTAGAGCACCGAAATGGCATCACACCTAAAGCCGGTAATAATCTCCAAGTTTGGATGCGCTTAGGGATTCTAATAAGCGCTATATAAAAACTAAAAACTAAAAACTATTATTATTATTTTAGATTGAAATGCAAGATGTGGATTTCCTAGAACTTGTCCAATCTTGCCCAATACGTTTGGTTTATATAGCTTTGTTTTTCACAAAACAGGAGTATAGTGACAGACATCATGGCTCTGTACTTGAATGTATATTAACATTTAAAAATATCATTTTCGTTGTAGGGATCGTGCTAGCAAGGACCCGTTTTGCAACACATGCCTTGCTGAAATTCATCAACGAGTGTGATGAACTGAAGAAACTCAGACCTCCAATTAAGCCAGTCCGAATAGTTGGACAGAGCGGAGATATTGATCAAGGACTAACGCTGGCAAGACAAGAAGCTGCGTTGAATGACTTCAAAAGCGGTAATATGCCTTAGAGTTTTCTTTTAGAATGTTTGAGGATACTGTCTTTAAGGGTGCTACCGTGCTTGTTTGTAATACAGTGCAAGTAGCATATCAATCTGCTCTTAAAGATTGCTACCCCACAGATAATACAGATATTGTAAGGTAGTTTACAGAATCCAGAGCAGAATAAGACTCAAGTACTTTGCACTGGTAGTTCATGATGAATTGACCATTCTATAGAAAGTAAGTCATCATGTTTAACCTGCCGAATTCAAAGCCCAAGATAACTCACGGTGTAGTGTTTTTAAAGAACAAATTATATAGCAATCAAGTAATATTCAAGGGGTTGGTAGGAATATACATGCACATAATACTTTGACTAATAATTGAGGAGGCGCGATAGCTCAGTCGGTAGAGGAGTGGTCTCGTGATCCGGTGACTCGGGTTCGAAACCAAGTCGATGCGCTAGTGCCCTTTGCAGAGCTGCCAACTAGTACGGATTTTCCGTAATTGGTACGGAAATCAACGGCAATTACGGAAGCACGGAAACCCCTTCAAAAATTACGGATTCCCCGATTTCTGGACATGCCTATGTATTAACACATGCATTATGCATATGCGAGTGTTTTAGCGGTAATGATCGCGATACTTCCCGGGCCTCGGCCCGGTGGTTAACTTTTGAGCGCACGGAAATATCATCCACGCCTCAGCCACGACCACTGCACACACATGTAGCTACCATCGAAAGATATACACACCGCCCTGCCCATATGGGCTGCGTGTGCTAGCTTTCAGCATGCAATATATATCGGGGAGACGGCAAACTCGTCACAAGTCCATTTAGCCACCTTGCAAACCAACCCGTACGGTACCATGTCCATGTGTAGTTTATAGCAGGTCTACAATTTTTTTCCCCTTAGTGATGGGTTCTCATTGTTATGATAATAAAAGTACGACTCGACTAATGATGAAGATGATGATGATGATGATGATGATGATGATGATGATAATTGTCATAAGGAAAATGAATGTACTTCCTTGATTAAACTTGAATTTATATTCAACAATTATTGTCATTGTGTTTTATTTCACATTATTTGTTGGATCATGTTTATTCATTTCATTTTATTCATATACCCCTTTTCATTGTTGACAACAAAATATGATACACGAATAAATTTTGAATGAGCTGACACACAAAGTTTTGACCGATACGAAAGCGCATGCATGGTGGATGTGCTGAAACAAGTGGCACGATATTTATCTAGGCGAAATATGCATTGGCCGAGTGTTACACTACCGCATGTGCAGCAGGTCGGCCGTGGTCGCGTCAAACTTCGAGTAACCGACGGAGAAAAATGACTTCAACTTCATCGAAGAAGCGTTCTAAAAAACTGCAAACCTTCTCAGGTGAAATGGTAATGCATTGTTCCGTCGAAAAGGAATACAAACAGTGCCTGTTGTACACATTGCTCATCCGATTTTGGAATTGGTCATGGCGGTTCGAACGATATCCAGGTACATCTGAAGTCGGTGAAGCACCGGACTGCAGCGGCGGAGGCAAGTTCCAATTCCCGCAGTCATGACATCGCCCAGTTTTTCGTCGCAAAGGACAATTCTGTCACGAACGCCGAAGTGAAGTTTACTCAATTTTTGATAGAGCACAACATCGCGTTTTCAGCAGCAGACCACCTTTCACAACTTGTCAAAAATGCCTTCCCTGACAGTAAAATTGCAATTGTAAAAACCTGAAGTGAATATACACACGTAAGTGAAACAGGGTAATGATACATCAATCCTCTAATAACCATTGTTTTTTTATAGCACTTAAAATGATGTTATAAACAGAATGTTCTTGTTTTTACTTCAAGTCCTGTCATTCAGAGTGATGCTATTACCATGGTACTAGTATTTGTGTTGTGGTGTTGTGTGCAGCTCTACAATGTACGTGCAAATGCAGTCTTCTTGATGTTGAAAGCGCCGCGCTTGAAATTACTGATTTCCATCCAAAATTACTGATTTTTAGCTTTCAGATTACTGATTTTGGTTTCAGAGGTTGGCAGCTCTGCCTTTGGCAAGGCATTATCCTCATTACCAGGTCCCTCTGAGAGGACCTAAAGCCGTCGGCCGTCTGGTTGCTTATTTACAAGCATTTATGCTTTCTTAGCTGTCAGGTAAAATAACCACCACCATATTCAATTACTTGTTGATAATAGTACAACAAGGTGTTTCTATTTTGTTTGTTTCAAGACCGAGCTAATCTCCTTGTGGCCACTGATATCGTCCAGGAAGGTTTGGATATTCCTGCTTGCAATGTAATCATCAGGTACAACTTTGTCAGCAATGAGATTGGAACGGTGCAATCAAAGGGACGAGCAAGAAAAGAAGGTTCCAAATGCTTCCTAATCGTTGAGAGGTAAGATCTAGTTTGCAAGGTTGACAGCTCTGCATGTATATGGTCAATGCAATGCAATTCAAAGTTATTCAGGCTGTTCTTTTTTAATGCATGATTTTTGTTGGGGGTTTAGGGCACCTGAACAAGCCTTTAATTACTTGCCAAAATGCCCGGTGTCCCTGTTGTCCCTGAAAATATCTGTATCCCAAATCATTATCTTGCATAGGAAAGTTGAGTCACCATAGCATGGGTCTCTTGGTGGATGCTGGAAAGTGGGAAAAGAGTTAATGAGGATTTTCCAGGATGAAGTTGTCCTGGATTTTTTAGGCTTAATTTTGCCCAATCTACTATTCTTTTTTGTGTACAGTGGATCAATTAACGAAGGAAGAGAACATAAGAACAGAGAGAGGGTTGAGCAGATGGATAAAGCGATTCGTGACGCAAACGACTTACAACCACACGAATGGCATCGGGAAGTTCGTCAGAGGCAGGTATGTCGATCTAAATCCAGAGACTCAATAATATTCTATACTTTTACCACACTATTCACATAATGATATCATGTTTCCATGCACTTCAGATGGACTTTGGAATGTATTGTGTGTCCCTTAAAGGCCCACTGCACTGCTTGTAGCTACTTGCGCCCTCTATATAACAAACCATGCCTAATCAGTGACCATTGGTCCCCCATGATCCTCTTTTTCTTATGTTAACTGAGAGCTGAGTTGATGAGATAACCACCTGTCCAGTGACCTTGCAGGGCAGTCTAATCCCTCCTGTAAACTATGGCAGATACGCTTTAAAAATCAGCAGATTTATATTCAAAGTTTTTAATGATTTTAAAGTATCATCAAAACAGTATCTTGCTTTGTATGTAACAGGCTCTATACTGCTAAACCGGTTCTATATTCAAAATGTTAGCTTCAAGCCTTCAATGATACTTCTGTAAAAGAGATATTTCAAATTTGAATAAGAGTAAAAGTGACGAGTAGACTAGGCTATTTTCCTGAATGCACTTGCTTAGAAAAGGATATGCAAGGAACCCGAATTTAAGTTGTTAAAGATGTATCTTATATTTCTTTCATACTCTTAGTACCTTTTAACCCAGAACGTTGAGTATTGTTTGAGAGGTTGATTTTGTATATACAGCATGTCCACCAATTATTTTGATTGGTGATTGTTCCTCCCATTTAAGAACGACGAGAGGGAGACAGAGATTGAGATGGAAATACATACATACAGTTAACATCTAAATCATTCATACCCCTTGTGAATTTGATGTTTTTTGTATGTCTTGTAATTCACAAATGAGAGAGAGAGAGAGAGAGAGAGAGAGAGAAAGAAAGAGACAGTAAGAGAGAGAGAGAGAGAGAGGGGGTGGAGCAATTGGCATATTTACTGCAGAGCCATCTATACACAGAGTTTGGCCAACCCGGTTCGAGTTGGACACAATATGGGGACTACTGCTTTGTTGGGCAAGCACAAAACAAAAGAATATACGCCATGTTGTGACCCAGTGAAACCAAGTTTACCAAACTCTGTGTATAGATGGCTCTGATTTGCTGCATTGTCATAAACTGAAAGGTGTATGGAGCCTAATCATAATTACGGTATAACTGTCCTTTTTTTATTTAGGCTCCTCACACTATGTATTGTCCTTAATTTCCTGTTGCCTGTTGTATCATTCTTCCCTCAAAACTTTACTGTATTTACAGATTTTACAGTGTGCTGTCCTTGATTTACGTTATCTACCTGCGTTGTTTCGTAGCCAACTCTTCAACTTGTATGAGTCTGAATCACTTTTCATGTAAATGTGAAAACAAATAAATGTCAAACTTATGAAATAATGATCAAGACCTTAATAAAAGACGGTTCTTTCACTTCCCTCTTTAATAGCTGACCATCATTAGGGATATTGAGGAGAAAGAAGAAATGAAGAGAATCCAGCAAAAGGAGAGCCAGCAAGTAGATGTCAAGCTTCTGTGCAATAAATGTGAGCAATTCATCTGCAAATCATCTGACCTGGAGAGGAGACTATCCAACTACACCTGTCTAGACCCCACTATTGCTGAAAGGACACGCAATGTTCGCACCGGCTGTATAATTTTTAGAGAGTCCAAAACAATTGGTAAGTCTAAACTAGGTGATATTCTTTGAGGTGACCAATCACCAACAAAAATACTTTGCTTTGTATACATCAGGTTCTATTTAAGCAATGTATTTGAAATACATGTATCAGCTTTATATACATGTATTATTCTTATAAATGAAGACAAAAATTGTAAGGGTAAATATGATCTGATTACGGTAAAGTTAAAAAAGTGACTTTTTATAACGTGGTTATTAATTGTTATGCCTTCGCCCACTAAAGGTGGTGCCAGAGGCATTATGTTTTGGGGCTGTCCATACGTCCCGCTTTCTCGTTATCGCAATATCTCAAGAACCACTTGAAATATTAACTGCAAACTTGATGATAGTATGTATCACCATGGGAAAGCAATCCCAGTAGATTTTGGAGTAACTAGGTCAAAGGTCACTGACGTCAACTAGGGCCACATTGTATTTATTATGAGATAGATATATCAGAGGCTTAAATATATTTGACTGTTTCCAGTTCAAAATTAAGTTATACAAGCTTTAAAAGGGTTGTCAGGTAGCCAATCAAGACTATAAATGAGTAATTTTGCAAAGCCATTGTGTTGCACAAAGCAATCGTTTCGTCAATTGGTGCCTATTGTTTTGTCTAACATTGCATGTGTGGCCAACGAGTGACAAAGCAGAGATGCGAAGAAAGCAGATAAAGTATCAAGTGCCCAATTGCGTATCTCTGATACAGGTGAACTATATAAACTATATATAACTATTATCCTCCCATTTCTACCATTCTTTACCAATGCAGGCATTGTAAAATGCAGATGTGGTAACCAGCTTGGACAAGCCTTGGAGTTCAAGCGTCTGCATTTATGGAAACCTGGATATAACCTGAGCCCAAAAAGCTTCTTCTTCATGTACAATGATGACCCAAACAGCAAGCGAGTCTTTGCCAAGTGGAAGAAGGTGGATTTTCCTATTGCTTCCGAGGAGCAGTAAGCTAGGGGTTGATCCTTAAATTGGACACTCTTGCTAAGCCCAGGAAAATGTTGTTGATGTCGAGTTAATAAGTCATCGGACTTTAGATCACAAGGTATAGGGTTTGATTCCCTCCCACAGACAGATTTTAATTGACGTCTACGATTGCGACACTTTTCCGAGGTAAACTCATTGTGTACCTGGTAGGATGTATTCCATAAATGCACCGAGAGCTACGGATATCGTAGCTAGAGCCGGGGTAATAATATACAAATATTGACTGCTTTGAGGGGCATGGTTAGAATTATTTCCCAAGGTGATCTCAAAACTGTACTGAGACCTGAGATGATGTTGAGGGGCATAGTACAGTCTTGAGATCACAGAGGAGCTATAATTTAACCTTTGACCACAAAATGAGCAGTCAATATTTGTTTTATATACTGCATCCCAGTGTCTATTCTTTACAAAAAGAGATAGTTTAACAAAACATGCCTGACAAAATGAATTTAGTTGTCGAGTCTGGGGAAATTTACCCATCTAAGATCATTGCGCTTCTCACTGCTCGTGTTATCTTCACTCGTAACCATTGCATCCTTTTATTCTATGTGCAAGTAGAACTATGCCCAGTCAATATTTTTTTGCTATACTGCCCCGCAATTACTAGCGCATTTCTTGCCTGCAGCTTTGACCAATCAAAGGCCTAGAATTTTGATATGCCATATTTATACTGCTTTGTAAGGGTATGCAGTCATTATTCCATGATGTAATACATGCCTTTAATACAGGAATGGAATGTTAATATGATTATATCAGAATCGTTCTGCAAAATCAGATGTTGCTGCTTTGACCTTTGAATTTTGCAAGCTACACTTGGGTCCATCTACAGATGATGAGACCAAAATAGACATATTCATAATATGTCCCTGCGGAGTGGGAGAAGTGCGATGTTCCTTTTGCTGCAGAGAAGAAATAATGAATTGGCCAGTCATACAGCCCTAATCGTTATGAGAGGAGAAGTTGTATACAAATTTTTAACAAAGAAACCTTGTTTATAGAGTCGATAGTGTTGTTTATAGAATCAAGCATCTTTCATAGAATCAATGAGCAGATAAGGTGTACCCATGAGGTACATGTTCAAGTATATTATGTCTTAAAGATTATGAAAGAAATATCAGTGTATGTCACTGGCATTGGTTAATTCTTGTGCTTTTCAGTGAATGTCATTTTCAGTAATTTTTTCTCTTCTTTAATTTTCTGATATATTACTAGTCCATACAACTCATTTTTTGCATGATAATGAATTTAGCATGACCTGTAGCTAGTTTTTATCCTAATAAAATTCCATGATATGATCTCAAGATTAGCTCTAAAATTGCAATCAAGTACCTGCTGGTTTTGGGATACTGTGCTTTAAAAATATATATTGTTATCATTATTTCTTTCTCTTTTGTTTCTCTTTTATGTGTAAAGGTATATTCTGCAATTTCTGTGTTAGCTCAAAGCAAACAGCAAATACTTATATGCATGTATATCTGAATTTAAATACCAGAGAAAAAGTAATATATATATCTTGAATAGATACTTATATCCAGTTGTTTTAGCTAAATCTAATTTGCCTGGTGAGAAAAACAAATAAGAAAAGAAGAAGAAGAAGAAGAAGAAGAAGAAGAAGAAGAAGAAGAAGAAGAAGAAGAAGAAGAAGAAGAAGAAGAAGAAGAAGGAGAAGAAGAAGTTATCATCTGTTCGGGGCAAGAAGGGCTGTCATGCAGAGTCAGCACCCTTCTGGCTCCAAACAGACTATATTAGAATAGATGTTCAATATACTGTATTTGAGCTTGAAACAGTTGAATCCTAATCCAGAATGCCTATTTGTATTACCAGTACATATTTAATGCAAACACCCATGAAATGCCATTGGCCCTATGGTTGATACATTTTGTTAGGTTTAAGGGTCAGGATTAGGGTAGGGTTTAGGGTTAGGTTTAGGGTAGCATTACCTATATTAGGCCTAACCACTTTGATCCAAAAGTTGGACGGTATAGAATGAACGATGTTGGCTTAAAGTGTATCGATTACCAAATTGTATTCTGCTCTGTATGTTAGCAGTTCCAAGTTGTAATGCTGTTTTCAAAATATGAGTTTCAATATTACTTCTGTGAAGAGATTTTTTGCAGTACACTCTCTATTAACATTAATAAAAGGAACTGGTGAGTAGTCAAAGTGATGTACCTGTATGCACTCGCATAAAAATTATGGGCCCGCACAGAACCCATATCTGACTTGGATTTCATGTTGTTCATTATCTTCTACATACTCCTTATCCGTTAGCCCATATAAAGCCGAGTCGAGCTTTATTGAGGTTGATTTATCCACTCTAGCTGCTTGTAAATGTAGTCAAATCCAATGTTTTTTTAATTCTTTGTAAAGGTGAGCGGTACACTTTAAGACCAAATGGAATGCAACACCAACGTAATCTTTAACTCTATAGAATATTTATATATATATTTATTTCTTTATCATCAATTTATCATTATGAAGTGTTCCTGAATTGCGCATTTTGAACTGGGCTCTGATGATCTGATATATATGAAATGGAGAAAATAGACCCTCTTCTGTATTTAGATTTAACATTTTTGTAATTAACATTCAGAAGATTGTCTATGGTTGAACTAACATAGCAACAACTACTTCATGCAGAAGGTTCAGTGCCAAACGAAATATCTGCTCTGATAAATGAATTTGTACTAGATAACAGAAATAAAATATTAAAACATCCATTAATATGCCATTGTGGAAATTGTTGCCATTGATGAAGACATCATTTTTAAAACTGAAATGTAAAATTAAGTACGAGTAGACTAATATTGCATGCATGTTCTCCATGACTCAAATTTACGTCAGGTAAATATATTTGTATAAAAATGAATATGAATTAGTGTTGGAATAGAGAGCAAAGGTTTAGCAGAAAACAGAATAAGTGATGTATACTCCCAGTAAAAAGAGCAAGCATTTTTGCCCTGCCCCCTCCCATTTCTGTTGATCTGATCTGAGACCAGGGGGGTGTTTCACAAAGATCTTAAGTAGAACTTAACTCTAAGTTTGAATTACAGTCATTTGTAGCCTTGAAATAAAATATATTCAAAAGCAAAAATTCAGGTATTTTAGACTTTTAATTCCACAGCAAGAACATGAAATCTCCTTGATAATGGAAAATATGAACGATTTGAATCAACATTTTATGCTTTTTAAACTAACTTAAACAAAATATTTTCAAAGATGCTAACAGCTTTCCATAACTGATAAGTCCAACTTAGAGATAAGTTCAACTTAGGATCTTTGTGAAACACCCCCCAGATTGGTTATGGGAAATTACAGCTGTATCTCAATATCAAACATTTATTTTATGAGGAGGATGTGATTATGGGTGCAAGGCAAGGAAAATGTTTGTGATTTTAAAAAGAAAATCTATGACGGGGAATAGCAATCTAGCCCCCTTTTTTCATCTTTGTAAATGCAAAATGAAAAACATTGAAACTTGTGACCCCTGACAATGTAATGTTCTATAGGAATGTATAGAAATACCACTGTCTATAACGACCAGATTTTGTGTTTAAATGAATCCTTATTCTCAATGAAACATGTAGTAAAGGAACCTGTACATAAAGACCACTTTCTAGTCTCACTTGATTGGTCTTAATATACAGGCTTCACTATAATGTTGAATTGTGTAGTATAAATTATATCCATCATTGACATTGCTTTTATATTTGCATGTACATGTATGTGTGCAGCATTTTAAATGCTTGTAATGACGAAATCTGTTACTAGTAATAGTTTAGATGCGAGGCATGCTCCAGTAATGATTTTTTTAATTTGAAGGGGAAAACCCCCTTTTTTACCACATAGCCATATCACATCAACGAGTATCCCATCTTAGTGTACCGGTTGATTTGTTGGTAGAACAGTTTTCTTGTGGATACTATTGATATGCTGCATTTTTATTAGGCCCCCTGCAATTTTGCATTCCTCATCTTTATCTTGTTTTTGTTTTTTTGCCATTTTTATATCTCTGTTATTTTGAAAATACTATAATGACATTATTGTGTTGGAGTACTAACGGAATATGATTCAGGAGATAATTCACGGCCTTTATGAAAATGGTAATACCTGCAGGAATATTTGAAGAATAAAATGAAACAATGTACTAATTCATTAGGTTTCATTCTTTATACATTTGGAATTTTGGTTGCTCATACTAATGCTAGTTCGTGTGTGTTAATTGTTGTAATGAACTGAAATTGCAAGCTAGATTACATGTCCAATCTATACGCTCACACACGGCCAACTATCTACAGACATTTAACTATTGGCTTATTCTAATTTAGATTTGACATGACACTAATTAAAGAAAACAAGTTTTGAGAATACCACTCTAGATTAATCAGTGAAACTACAATGTGTATTTCATGTGAAGGGAAGGGGTGTTGTTCTGCATGAACTGTACTGTTGCAATGATTGTATTAAGCCTTTCATGAGGATTATTCTACATTTTGTTGTTTGATACAGAGCCCTATAAAATATACCAGATACACAAGTAGAAAGAGCAAAGATTTCTGCGTATACTTCATCCATTTTTGTTTCATGACTATATAGCATTTGATGCAAGGAATTTTATAAGAAAATACGTTTTAAAAACCTTAAATTGGCAACACGTTGAGAGATTTAAAATCATTGCTTAAAAAAACTTTAAAAAACTGGCCATTTAAAACAACTTTTTGACAACGATCTCGTCCATGGTTATTGTTATCTTAGTAGTTTATTCTATCTTTGTAGTGATTAAAGAAAAATAATATTGTTGCCAATTTTAAGAACATCACGTGATCAATTTAAAATAAACCCTGTCCTGAAAGGGTTAAGCGATGGTTTACATGTTTAGCTTTCACTTTTGCGTTTCTATCCTGTGCCTTTCTTATGCTCATTATTTTTTTGTGCGTGGGTACTCAGTTTTCCAGATTATCTGGAAATGACAATCATTAATATGGAATGAGATAATTTTATCCCCTTCCAGATGCCATCTGATATGAAAACATATAATTATTTGAAATGTATATGTCGCATTTTATTATACAATTATGTTGCGTTATTGTGAAATAATTGTACTTTTAGATTCATCTCATCTCTTCAAGAAATAAATGGGAACATAATATATGATTAAGAGAACTCTTTTCAATTATGTAGTACTTCTTCTAATGTGTTGGTATTGTTAGTAATTCTGTTATGATAATCCCAAACTCTCAAAAAAAAATTGGTCGTAAATAATAATTTCAAGTCTGAAGTTTGTTATTTCGGAAGAAGAAGTGACAGGGGCGGATTTTTTTATTTTTATTTATTTATTTATTTATTTATTTATTTATTTTTTTTTTTTTGGGGGGGGGGGGGGGGGGGAGGGGTTAGGGGGTTTAAACCTTGGGCTGCCAAGTGAAATAGCAACCCCCCCCCCCCCCAAAAAAAAAAAAAGTGAAATAGAAGGGGGGAAAAATCGTCTTGCCGCTATGCGGCATCGTCATTGGGTCAACCCCTCCCATTTTTAGCAAAAGCTAGATCCGCCCCTGAGTGATTTACAAGAATTCCTACCGCACATGCCCCCTCCCCCCTCTCTCTCTCTCTCTCTCCCTCTCTCTCTCTCTCTCTCTCTCTCTCTTTATCTCTCATATACCATTACATTTTAAGGTGCATCCATAAAGTATTTCACATGCTGCCCGTCGTTGCATCTATGTCTATGAAGCAAGAATTTGCTTGTGCTGGTATAGGAGCAATGTTTTTTGTGCAGATATATTTGAGATTATGATGACGTGGATTCTAATCAAATGATTGGTCGCGAGCGTACACGTGACCGGGCATTTATTTTGCCTCAGGCGTAAATTTGATAATGACCGGTCATTAGTAAAATCATGTTATAAAACGGTAGTTTATAAAACATATAAACATAATCAAACAAATAATACACATCATTTTGTTCGGGCATTTTGTATTACGTCTATGGTATAACTACCCACACTCGGTACCTTCAAAAACGGTCAAAACACCCTCAGCTATAGACTGTTCCAAATTTTGTGTGGGTATACTTCTTACTAATGCCCTCACTGCTGTGTATTATTTGTATAATATTATGTAACTAATACTACCAAGAGAGAGGGGCGGGATGGAGACCAGGCGCGAATCCAGGGGGGGGGGGGGGCGAGCGGGCCTTGTCCCCCCCCCCCCCCCGCTAAAAAAAAAAGAGAGAGAGAGAGAAGGAAAAGAAGGGAAAGGGAAAAGGGAGACCAAGGGAAAGAAAGAAGAGGACGAAGAAAAGAAAAGGGGAAGAAAGAGATCGGGGGAGCCGAAAGGGCCTTGCTTTCCAGGCTGTGGCCTCCCCCCCCCCCCCCCCCCGAATAAAAAATAAGAGAGAACGAAGGAAAGGGGGGAAGGAAAAGAGGAGATAAAGGGAAGGACAAAAGAGGAAGAAGAAAAGAAAAGAAGGGGGATATCGGTTGCAATTTTCCCGCCGACAAGTTGTGGATCGGGGTTGGGGGGGGGGGCAAAAGGCACTTGCCTCCCCACCCCCGCTAAAAAAAAAGAGAAAGAAGGAGGGAAAAGGGAAAGAGGAGAGCTTAAAGGGAACAAAAAAGAGGAAAAAGAAAAGAAAAGGGTGAAAAGAAGGGATGATCACTTGCGGTTGATCCCGCCAACAACGTGTGGAGCGGGCTGAAAGCTAAAAGAGAGAAAAGGAAGGGAAAGGAAAGGGAAAGAAGAGAGAAAGAGCAAGAAAAAAAGGAGAAAGAAGAAAGGTAGGGGAGATCAGTTGCGATTTTCCCGCCAACAAGGTGTAGATCGGGGGGGGGGGGCTTGAGTGATGCCCCTCCCCCACAATTCTGAAATGACATTATTTTCCGAGGTTTTTTCTCACTTTTTAGTAAATTATACACTTTATGCGTTTGTTGGAAAATGACAAATTTCTAAATTTACAGCCAGGCAAGAATTATGCTTCTTGAGATGCCTACATGCCAGGGCCCGCGGAACGGCGGGGATCGGGAGCCTCTAGCTCTCTCTCCCCTACAGTTTTTTTAGAAAAAGTATATTATATTAAAGAGAACAAGAAAGAAAGAATAGTTAACTGCCAGTGTCACAAACTAATGAGGTATCAAAAAATGCTCATCTAACCGTAATTAAACGCCTAAAACCCCTGAGCTTCCGGGGGTTCTGCTCCCTGGGCCCAACCAAGGGCCCTAAAGCGGGCCCCTTGATACTCATCTGACCGTATATTTGTGCCTAAAACCATTGAGCTACCGGGGGCTCCGCCCCTTGAACCCACGCCAATTTTGAACTGTCAGTGTCACAATAAGGTATCAAAATATGCTCATCTGACCGTAATTAATGCCTAAAACCCCTGAACTTTCGGGGCTCTGCCCCCTGTACCCCGCCTAGGGCCCAAAGGCGGGCCCCTTGATACTCATCTGACCGTATATTAATGCCTAAAACCCCTGAGCTTCTGGGGGCTCTGCCTGTTTGACCTCACGCCAAATAGTGTCCTGCCAGTGTCACAAATAAGGTATAAAAAATATGTTCATCTGACCGTAATCAAATGCCTAAAACCCTTTAGCGCCCGGGGGCGGACAAGGCACCTAGCCGGGGCGGGGGGGGGGGGCGTGGTGGGGGCGGTTCTCCCCCAAAAAACACAGGCCAAAAAAAAAGAGGAGAGAAAAGGAAAAGGGACGTAGGAAGAAAAAGGAGCAGACAAAGAACATTTTGAAATTCAGACAAGGAATAAGAGTCGAGAACGGTACAACGAATCGTCTTCTTTCTCTAACAATTTAATGCAACGTCAAAGCTTCCACGCTTCACGCAAGAGGGGGGGGGGGGGAACTGAATTCAGACAAGAATTAATAGTCGAGAATGGTACAACGAATCGTCTTCTTTCTCTAATAATTTAATGAAACGTCAAAGCTTTCGTGCTTCGCGCAGGGGGGGGGGGGGGGGGGGACTGAATTGAGACAAGGTTTAAGAGTCGAGAACGGTACGGCCAATCGTCTTCTTTCTCTAATCATTTTAATGCAACGTCAAAGCTTCCGCGCTTCGCGCAAGAGGGGGGGGGGGAAACTGAATTCAGACAAGGATTAATAGTCGAGAATGGTACAACGAATCGTCTTCTTTCTGTAATGATTTAATGAAACGTAAAAGCTTCCGCGCGAAGAGCGGGGGGGGGGGGGGGGCGGACTGAATTCAGACGAGGATTAAGAGTCGGGAAGAGTAAACGAATCGTCTTCTTTTCTCTAACAATTTAATGAAACGTCAAAGCTTTCGTGCTTCGCGCAGGGGGGGGGGGGGACTAAATTGAGACAAGGTTTAAGAGTCGAGAACGGTACAGCCAATCGTCTTCTTTCTCTAATCATTTTAATGCAACGTCAAAGCTTCCACGCTTCGCGCACGAGGGGGGGGGGGGTGGAACTGAATTCAGACAAGGATTAATAGTCGAGAATGGTACAACGAATCGTCTTCTTTCTGTAATGATTTAATGAAACGTAAAAGCTTCCGCGCGAAGAGCGGGGGGGGGGGGGGACTGAATTCAGACGAGGATTAAGAGTCGGGAAGAGTAAACGAATCGTCTTTCTCTAATAATTTAATGAAACGTCAAAGCTTCCGCGCTTTGCGCGGAGGGGGGGGGGGAACTGAATTCAGACGAGGTCAGCCGTTGAATAAGCGGGGGGGGGGGGGGTAAGAGCACTATTTTTTTTGGCGGGGGATTTTTAAAATTTTTATTTTAAAGTTTTTTTGTTTTTTTTGCCAGGGGGGCGGACCATTCGGCACCCCCCCCCCCCCGTGAATCCGCGCCTGCCTACTCTTGGAGGGGGTAGGAGGAAGCAATTTTACGTCATATTACTCCAGGAAGTGCCTGAAAATGTGCCTAATGTGGTTCTAAAATTGCAAATGCCTTCCAAGACACTCCCCCGCTTGGTCGCTCCGCTCCATCGTTTTTCATATATTTCACCCCTTGCGATTTTATGCCCCCCCCCGGTAAGAAATTCCTGGATCCGTCACTGTTGTGATCACCATTTGTTTTGTTCGGCTCAACGAAGGTGGGGGGGGGGGGCATGTACAGTAGGATTTCTTGTAAATCAATTTTTCCAGAATAGCAAACTTCAGACTGGAAATTATTATTTACTATCCAATTTTCGTTTGAGAGTATGTGATTATATAACAGAATTAATAACATTACCAACATAATTGAAAAGAGTAATAAAAATCAAGTACATGTATTACCATTTATTACTGGCATGTTTTATCATTTATTACTTGAAGAGATGAGATGAATCTAAAAGTACAATTATTTCACAGTACTGCAACATAATTATGAAATAGAATTAATGCAATATCTAAACTTATCTGGAAGAAGATAAAGTAATCTTATTAATGAGTGTCATTTCCAGATAACCCAGAAAACCGAGTGGGCCTACACACACAAATAATGAGCATAAGAAAGGCACAGGATAGAATTGGAAAAGTGAAAGTTATTCCCTAGCTTAACAGTTTAGGACAGGGTTTATTTTTAGGGCTAAATCGGCCAATGACACGTTGTTCTTCAAATTGGCAACAATAATATTTTTCTTTAATCACTACGAAGATAGAATAAAAATGCCATTTCACTGAAAACAATAAACATGGGCAAGAAGTTTGTCAACAAGTTTTTTATAATGGCAATTTTTATCAAAAAACAAACACAGATTTCCAATCTCTCATTGTGCTGTAAATTTAAGGATTTTAAAAGTTATTTCTCTTTTTAAAATTCCTAGCATCAAATGAAATATAGTCATGAAACATAAATTGCATGAAGTAGGAGCAGAAATAGTTACCCTTTATACTTGTGTATCTGGTATTTTTTTAGGGCTCTGTTAAAAATGTATGACCCAAAAACAAAATGTGAAATAATTGTCATGAAAGGCTTAATTAATACAGATACAGTCCTTGCAACAGTACAGTTCATGCAAAAAAAAATCGTTACTTCTAATAACTAAATGTTTCTTATTATCCTCAGCATCATCATGGAAAAGAAAAAGATACAGAAAACACCCCTCCCCTTCACTAGACATACACATTGTAGTTTCACCGATTATCAATCTAGAGTGGTATTCTCAAAACTATTTTTTTTTAAATTAGTGTCCGTCACCTCAAATCTACATTAGAACAAGCCATAGTAGTTAAATGTCTGTAGATAGTTGGCCGTGTGTGAGCGTAGCTTGAACATCGCATATAGCATGCAATTTCAGTTCGTTATACAACAATTAACACACATGTAACTAGCACTAATATGAACAACAGAAATTCTGAATTAATACAAAAATAAAACCTAAGGAATAAGTACTTTGTGTCAATTTTTGTCTACAAATTTTCCTGCAGGTAGTACAATTTTCATAAAAGCTGTGAATTATCTCCTGATACATATTCCGTTAGTACTACAACAAGATAATGTCATTATAGTATTTGCAAAATAACAGAGATATAAAAATGGCAACAAACAAAACAAAATAAAGATGAAAATTTAAAATTACAAGGGGCCTAAAAATGCAGCATATCAATAGCTAGTAGGTTTATCCACAAGTAAACTGTTCTACCAACAAATCAACCGGTACACTAAGATGGATTGGTCATTGATGTGAGGCTATGTGGTAAAAAAAAAAAGGGGGGGGGTTCCTTCAAAATAAAAATTCATTACTGAAGCATGCATGCCTTAGGCTACACCTACAATATCTATACTAGTACATTTTGTCATTACAAGCATTAATAGCATTTAAAATGGATACATACATGTACAAGCAAATAAAGAAGCATGACAATGATGAATATAATGTTATATTACACAATTTAACATTATATGTATATCATATACAGTGAAACCTGTATATAAAGACCTATCAGGTGAGACAAGAAGATGGTTATTATGGTAAGGATGGCCTGTATGTACAGGTTCCTTTAGTACATACTTGAATGAGAATAACTATAGTATACCTGGTATTCCCTTATTTTCCCTTTAACACAACAAGTGGTCTTTATAGACAGGTGGTATTTCTATACATTCCTATTAACCAATACAGGTGGTCACTAAAGCAGGTTTTATAACTGTATTTCATTTTGCCTTGGAATATGTTTGACAAGATGGAACACAGGGGCCAGTTTGCTATGCCCCATCATAGATTTTTGTTTTAAATCACAAATATTTGCATTGCTTTGCACCCATAATCACATCCTTATAAAATATATATTTGATATTGAGATACAGCTGTAATTGCCCATAGCCATTCTCAGATCAGACCAACAGATTCAAGAGGGGGCAGGGAGTATACATCACTTATTCTGTTTTCCACTAGACATAATCAGGGTATCTATTCCAACACTAATTCATATTCCTTTTTATTGCAAATATATTTACCTGATATTAATTTGAGTCATGATGGAAAACATGCATGCAATGTTAGTCTAATCGTACTTAAATTTACATTTAAGTTTAAAAAATGTCTTTATCAATTTTCTGGGCTTAGCAAGAGTGTCCAATTTAAGGATCAACCCCTTGCTTACTGCTCCTCGGAAGCAATATGAAAATCCACCTTCTTCCACTTGGCAAAGACTCGCTTGCTGTTTGGGTCATCATTGTACATGAAGAAGAAGCTCTTTGGGCTCAGGTTATATCCAGGTTCCCATACATCCAGACGCTTGAACTCCAAGAATTGTCCAAGCTGGTTATCACAGTGGAGGCATTTTACAAAGCCTGTTTCGGTAAAGAATGGTAGAAATGGGAGGATAATAGTTATATATAGTTTATATAGTTCATCTGTATCAGAGATATGCAATTGGGCACTTGATACTGTGGTTGCTTTCTTCACGGCTCTGCACTATCACTCGTTTCCACACATGCAATTCTGGACAAAACAATAGGCACCAATTGACTGAACGATTGCTTTGTGCAACACAATGGCTTTGCAAAATTACCCATTTGCAGTCTTGATTGGCATCTTTAATTTTGAACTGGAAAAATAAATATTAAATATTTTGTATGGCATATATATAGAGAGTTAAAAGCAAGGATCAGTATACTGCCTCCCCCCCCCCCACCAATCACAATATAAGCAATAAACTCCTATAGAGTACCGAAGCTGTGACATCATAAAAATCTATTTTTAGAATTTCTCAATTTTTTCTTCATTTTCTGAAAGAGCATCAAAAATAATGTCCAAATGTCGAAAACCAATTGAATATGTGAAGCATTGGCTGAGATGTGACCATCTGAATAAAAAGATTGCCTATGGGAACTCAGTGTTATTTGCTCTGGCTCCTAATGGTTAGGAGCCAGAGCAAATAACACTGAGTTCCTAGCTATGGGGAGTATATTTATTCAGATGGTCATATCTCAGCCAATACTTAACATTATCAATTGGTTTTCGACATTTGGACATTATTTTTGATGCTCTTTCAGAAAATGAAGACAAAATTGAGAAATTCTAAAAATAGATTTTGATGACGTCACACTTCACCACTCTATATGCCTCTGCCCTAAATTCAGTATAGGAAAAGGATGGAATTATTGCTGACATACCACAATGAAAACAAAAAAGCATATATGATAAAATGTCTACTGACGACTATGTATGATCTTGTACTACTAGCCCCAAAAAGTAATACTGACTGTCACCATGTTTGAAGTTCATACCTCAAGAAGTTCTTGACATATTGTCATAACAAGAGCGTGGACTGCCATGTGTGACATTGTGTTAAGGCACTGGGCCGTGCTCGCCAGTGCCTTAGAAGGACGTCACATTACCTTAAAAGGATGTCACACGTGGTGGTCCACGTTCTCGTCGTGTAAATCTAAAAGTCCCTACTAACAAGAAAGCGAAACTAACGAACAACTCAAAAACATAGTGCCTCCAGCACCACCTTCGGTGGGCAGTGGCAAACAAATCAATAAACACAATATAAAAAGTCACTTTTTAACTTTAATCAGAGCATATTTACCCTTAAAATATTTCTTTATAAGAAAAATACATGTATATAAAGCTGATACATGTATTTTAAACACGTTGCTTAAATAGAACCCGATGTATACGAAGCAAAATATTTTTTGTTGTGATTGGTCACCTCAAAGAATATCATTTTTTTTAGACTGACCGATTGTTCTGGACTCTCTAAAAGTGTCACAAACGGTGCGAACATTGCATGTCCTGTCAGCGATAGTGGGGTCGAGACAGGTGTAGTTCAATAGTCTCCTCTCCAGGTCAGATGATTTGCAAATGTATTTCCCACAGTTATTGCCGCGGCACAGAAGCTTGACATCTACTCGCTGGCTCTCCGCTTGATGAATTCTCTTCATTTCTTCTTTCTCCTCAATATCCTTGATGATGGTCAGCTATTAAAAAGGGAAGTGAAAGAACCGTCTATTTAGGTCTTGCTCATTATCTCATAAGTTTGAAATTTATTTGTTTTCACATTCACATAAAAGCCTTTAGGACTTATGTAAGTTGAAGAGTTGGGTTACGAAACAACACAGGTAGATAATTTAAATCAAGGACAGCACACTGTAAAATGTGTAAAATAATTGGTGGACATGTTGTAAATCAACCCCTCAAACAATACCGGTACTCAACATTATCTGTTAACAGTTATTAAGAGTATAAAGAAAATAAAAGATATATAAACTCAGACTCTGGTTCCTTGCATATCCTTATCTTAAGCAAGTGCATACAGATCCACTGCATACATTTGAATATCTTTTAATACAGAAGTAACATTTGAAGCTAATATTTTGAATATAGTACAAGTATAGCTGCATAGAGCCCGTAACATACAGTGCAACATACTTTTTTTATAATCCTCCTCTTTAAAATCACTAAAAACTTTGCATATCAATCTGCTGATTTTAAGAGACACACAATAACTTCCAAAGTTTTTCTGAAGTGCATGGAAACATGATATCATAATGTGATTTGAACTGTAAAGAACAGAATATTATTATCATTCGACATTTATGGCAGACTCTCTTGATTTAGACATACCTGCCTCTGACGTACTTCCTGATGCCACACATGTTTTGGTAAGTCGTTTGCATCATGAATCGCTTTATCCATCTGCTCAACCCTCTTTCTGTTCTTCCGTTCTCTTTCTTTGTTTGCTGATTTGCTGCACACAAAAAAAGTAGATTGGGCAAAAATAAAGCTTAAAAATCCAGGTCAACTTCATCCCAGAAAATCTTTCCCATTAAAGGTAATGCAAAGTTTTGAGAAATTTTGAAAATTGGATGGATAGTAATTCTTTTAAATTTTGATATATATTGATGCCCCTGTGGATGTATTATTATAAGCACTAGAAAATTTAGCCCCTAAAACACTTCTGCTTTCATGAATTGAATAATCAAAATTTACAGGTGCTCCCAGTAAATTTCAAATATTTCAAATAGCGCTTATAAGGCCATTCCATGGTAGCTGCGACCATGAAAATCTCAGAATATGCAGTTCCGATATAATTTCCAAACGGGAATAGCAAATCGGTCAATTGTAGTCAAGAAACATTGTTTTAAAGCAAAAGTAATATTAGTCTTGAGAGGGAGCTATACAACATAAATAGTTTATTGTTTACAATTTCATCACTTTAGACTCAATTTCAACCGCGACAACAATCATTGAATATTGTACAATCGCATATGCCTTCAATATGTTCATGACCCCATACCAAAACTTTGTATTACAGGGTACCTTTAACTAAGTAATCAACATGAAAACATTAGATTTTCTTAACTATACAGTATACACTGTATAACTGTATTGTCACTTATTTTCAAATGTTTAGATATTTCCAACAAAGCAACAAAACAAAACAGGATAAAGTTGAATTTAATTTTATAGAAGTGAGTAATTCAGTGGCTCCATTTCAGATTTCTTCAGTATTCGGTCAGCATAAAGTTTCTTTTTACATTCACATTGTTTGCTTTGTTTGTACAATCTGTTAGAGTAGTCCCCTGAATGAATGAAAAAGGAAAAATAGCCCTTTTTTCGGAGCAATCTACAACTTACTCTTCAACGATGAGGAAGCATTTGGATCCTTCTTTTCTTGCTCGTCCCTTTGATTGCACCGTTCCAATCTCATTGCTGACAAAGTTGTACCTGATGATTACATTGCAAGCAGGAATATCCAGACCTTCCTGGACGATATCAGTGGCCACAAGGAGGTTAGCTTGATCTTTATAATGAAACAAAGAGAATAAAAACTGAAACTGGAATCTGGAAACAAGACTCAAGGAGCACAGAACCAGCTTCAGACTCAGCGATTGGGATAAGTCCGCCATCGTCAAACACGCCCAGCAACACGAACACACCATCGAATGGGATAACAGTCATCTCATCTAGCTCCATAATGAAGCACTGGCATACACGACAAATCCGAGAAGCCATCAAAATCTACCGCCACAACACCGTGCCCCAAGACTCAGGATTATACATCAACGACATCTGGAAACCCCTCATCAACAAGTACCCTGTCACTCCTCCTCAACCACCACCTCCATCACCGCCTTCACCACCCCCGCAGACACCCGTACATCAACCACCGCCACCCGCCGAACCCTCAAAGCAGCCGCCAGCATCACAGCTACAATGCACAGCAGACGACAGCAGACTACAACACCGCCTACGTCGGGGACACACACAGCGTCTCGCCGACAGCACACCCCACTCATGGATTCGAAACTCCCAGAAGTCCGCAACCCGTGGACTCCAGCCAAAACGGACAGGCAGACGGACGAGCAGACCATCCATGTGCACTTCCCGATGACTCAAGCCTACACGGTCATATATATTTCCCCTACGTCCGCACCCCTGTGAATTAAGCTCACGCACGCCAGCTATTCTCCACTCGATGGATAGTCAACCTGTTCGAAACGCCGAGCCCTCCCGCCACTCATCCTCTCCAAGCGCTATAGTTCTCCTTAGAACTATAAGCTAAGAAAGATAATCAACAGTCTTTCTCAACACTACACCAACAGTCCTTTTCAGGACTACACACCCTCAAGAAAGATTACAGAGAGTCCTTTTCAGTCCTCCCTCTCCCTCTCACATGGTGCACCAGCAAGCATACTGCATTGTATTAAACACCTTGTTGTACTGTTATCAACAAGTATTATGCACATGTATATTCCTACAACCCCTCGAAGACTACTTGATTTTTTTATAATATGTTCTTTAAGTACACTCCAGCCTTAGTTATCTTGAGCTTTGGTTTCAGCAGATTAAAACATGATGATTTACTTTCAATGGAACATTCAATTCTTCATGGATTCCAAGTGTCAATCTTGAGTCTTAATTATTCTGTAAACTACCTTACAATATCTGTATTATCTGTGGGGTAGCAATCTTCAAGAGCAGATTGATATGCTACTTGCACTGTATTACAAACAAGCACGGTAGCACCCTTGAAGACAGTATCCTCAATCATTCTAAAAGAAAACTCTAAGGCATATTACCGCTTTTGAAGTCATTCAACGCAGCTTCTTGTCTTGCCAGTGTTAGTCCTGGATCAATATCTCCGCTCTGTCCAACTATTCGGACTGGCTGAATTGGAGGTTTGAGTTTCTTCAGTTCATCACACTCATTGATGAATTTCAGCAAGGCATGCGTTGCAAAACGGGTCCTTGCTAGCACAATCCCTACAAGGCAAATTAACAATTAAAAAAAATGTTAATATACACTGTACATTCAAGTACAGAGCCATGATGTCTGTCACTACTCTTGTTTTGTGAAAAACAAATCTTATAAGCCTCGGAATAGAACTATCTAGATAGACGGCGCTATAGAAATGCCTATTATTATTATTATTATTATTTAAACCAAACGTATTGGGCAAGATGGGACAATTAAGTTCATATTCAATTGACATCAATTTAAGGAAATCCACATCTTGCATTTTTAAATCTATAATACAGGAGTTGTTTTGTGCAAAGCTGAAAAGTAATTCTTTATTTAAAACTATTTAATAAAACGTATGAAGATATAAAAGATATTGTTTGACACTACCTTTTCCCCCACTTAACATTCCATCACACATAAAATTATTTTATTGTGTGGCAGTTGTTCGCATCATATATTAGGATTTACGATTGAAGATCTGATAAAAGCCACGATACTCACCTTTTGATTCAGGTTCCTTGCTATACACCCTCTTGATCATCTCATGTAGACAGAGTAACTTGGGATTGGACAACGGATTCTCCTTACTAGCTAGTTCCTTCAGTTCCTGCAAATTCTCCTCATAGATCATCCTGCAGTCCCGCCCATCCCTTAATTCATCCTTTATCTGTAGCTTGAAGTTCTCAATAAAGTCTAGTGCATCTGTGGCGCGTAAATCCTCGTACAGCAGTAGGGCTAGGTTTAGACGGAACAGATAATTGGCACAGATTTCAAGGTTGGGGAAGCAAAGCTCTGCATCGGCACGAATCTTGGCAATCCAGTTCTCGTACACTTGAGTTCCATTTTCTGGGGAGGAGAAAGTGATGTCTTCATGGTCGTCCTGGTGCTTGGCTAGGACTTTCTGCTCAATCTCTTCCATGATGGTTTTCAGGATCTCAATAAAACGGGAACTTTCTGGGGTCGACTCTTTCTTAGGGAGTGCAAGTATTTGATCCTGTTCTGGTGGCTTGTTGTATTTCTTCAGTTCTTGTACATTGTGTGGCTCGGTGACAATCTTGACTTCAGAGCTATCCAAGTTTGCACATAGCGTAACAATGTGACCATGTGCATCATCAGAAGTGCCAGTACCAACCGATGCAGTTAGCCCTAGAAAAGAAATGTATTCAAACAGAATAAAAGAACATTAAAGGGATCCGGTAACTTTGTCTTAGATCCTTTAAAAAAATCCTTGATTTAGCTCATGCTGCAATGAAAATTATAAACCTTTAGGTCAGTCAAGAACCCCATGACTTTTACAAGCCGATCGCCTGTCTAATTATCAAGATATTTATGATTGAAAAACAAATTCAAATTTTGCGTTTGACAAACGGATTTCATAACACTACAGTCTATTGGGGAAAACGAGTATAGTAAAACCGGTCACTCAAAGGTTTTTACTTTTTTGAGGCACTTATTGATCATTTTGAAGCGCAATTTTTGTAGGGTTTTGATGTAACACCATATCACAGACACTGATAACACGTACTTGTAGGGCAGTGCATCTCAGATTAAACATTATGAAACGATCCCTTTAAGTGTTGGGCCATATCTTATAAAGAGTTATGATTGATTTGAAGCAATCATAACTTGAAATTAATCGCATCTACTAACTCTTTAAGGCATTGTTAAAAAATGCCAAATCTGAGATGCACGAACGTACCTACGTGTTATCAGCATCTGTGATATGGTGTAATGTTGAAGGCCTAAAAAAGTTGCGCTTAAAAATGATCATGAAGTGCCTCAAACAAGTAAAAATCTTTGAGTTATGACCAGTTTTTTTAAATAATATACTCATATTCCCCAAAAGACCGTAGTGTTATAAAAAACGTTAACCATCAACATAACTGCTCCTGAAACTGCAATTATTTATGACTCAAAATAACTTAAATATTTCCATGTCTCATTCTGTAATTGTCTAGAGCTTTTCTTTGTTTGTAATTTTCAGCAAGATCTAGCCCACTTTGTCTAATTATGATGATTCCAGAATCGCATAATACACAATTAGAATACTAATGTTAATTTTTAATTGCCGATGGTGCCACAGCGTTTAAAAAAAAAAATCTACTCAACATTGCCATTCCCTTATAAATACACATTAAAAAATGCAGGTGTTTTTTGCGAGGTTTTGCTGCTGCATGCATATGAGAACAGGTCTTTAGTCAGCCAAAGCAGGCAAACATTTAAGAATGTATTTAAATTCTGGACAATTAACTTACCAACCACCTGAGGTATTCTTCCTTGGGGACGTCCTACAGGCCACTGCTCTTCAGGTATTCCTTGCTGAACTAGAACAGCTTTCTTCTCCCTCAGGTAATGTCTCATGATTTCATTGTAAGGATGGTTCAGGGTGGTGTGGTGACATTCATCAAATATCAGCATAGACACTTCAGGTAGCTTGAATTCATTCTGGGTCAGGGCATTCACTAGCACCTGGGAAGTTATCATCAAGACTCTAACATTGCCTTTCTTAAAGGCATCACGGAACATCTGCCCTTCTGCAAGTGATGTAACCTGTCCTGGAACGAATACATCTTGGAAGCCATCTCGCTGCTGCTTCTTCAAGTGCCTTGTAGGAACAATGAAGATGGCTTTGAAATCATCTTCTTTGCCAGCTTCCTTCATTTTCATCATATTTTTGTAGCAAATGTGAGCTGCGGTGATGGTCTTTCCTGACCCCGTTGGAGCACAGATTACATAGTTGACACCTTGGAGTCCTGGGTCAGCTAATTCCACCTGGTAGCCTCTCAATGGTTTTGGATCCTCCTTGTCTGTTCGAGGTTGAGGGAAGTCAAGAATGGAAGAAGCACGTGCCCCTGCTGCAGTTTCACCAACTTGCTCTTGATCTGATGCAGAGTCTTTGACAACATCTGCTGAGAGATCATCTGCTCCAGAAGGTGCATTTGCACAATCTCTTACCGTGTCGCCTTCACCAATGACCGGCTGCTGTTGGTGTGGATTACTCTTAACCCTTGATGCAATCTCCTCTGCCTCACTGAGACTGAGATAGACAAGTCCTTGGATAACATCCCTTAGATGATCAGGTGTTGAGGATGGTTGGATCGCATGTTCTAGGGTGTGTTTGATGTTACCAGCAGCCTCCAGGGATGAAGCTTGTGTTTGAACTTGTATCTGTGAAGCTGCTTGTTCATCGCTAGTGCGCAAGGATCTTGCTGAACTCATCAGCGATCCTGAACTGGAATGTGGAAGCTGCTCAGCATTAGCATTACCTAAATGGCCAATTCCAGATGGATCGTTGCTTATAAGTGGTGATGCTGTACTGATGAGCGAGTTTGAGTAAGCAGGAGACAGATGAGTAGGGGTAGCTGAAGCAGGCTCACCTTGCCCTGGTACCATATTACTTTGCACTGTTCGGAGTGGCTCTGAGCTCTTCAAGCCATGATCAACAGCCGCAGAATTACCCACAGGTTTCTTGCTTTTTAGAGATCTCGGTAAACTAACTGAACTGATATCTTGACAAATGTTGGCATGGACCACTCCAGCAGATGACTGGTCACTGGGTAAACCTTGCATTTGGACGACATTGCTTAGCATTGGTGGTAATGTCTCTGTGCTCGTTAATCCATGACTTGAAGTAGTACCAGCGCCAGGATTTGGGCTTAATGCTGAGCTCTGTTGTAGGTTTCCAGTGGTAGGGAAAGCTTCCGGTGTTGAACCCTGAAACTGTGAGCCAGGGACTTTGCATGGTGGTTCATAAGCTGTTGCTCCCGGTGAAGTGGTAGGGGAAGCTGCCGGTGTTGAACCCTGAAACTGTGAGCCAGGGACTTTGCATGGTGGTTCATAAGCTGTTGCTCCAGGTGAAGTGGTAGGTGAAGCTGCCGGTGTTGAACCCTGAAACTGTGAGCCAGGGACTTTGCATGGTGGTTCATAAGCTGTTGCTCTAGGTGAAGTACCACCTTGATGATATCTTGGGCTGTTGTGTGGTGGAGAGACTGGATAATATGCAGAAGGCTGACCTTGGGGTGTGCTTGGGGATGGAATAGGACCTTGGCTAATATTACTACCCACAACAGGTGATCCAGGAGACGGCGGGTTTGGAGCAGGAGTTCCTGATCCAGAAGGGCTTGTAGATCCTTGTCCCTGGCTTCTTGTCTGAGAATCCTTGTACTGTTTAAGCTCTTCTACAATTCAGATTGAGGTGAAACAAAAGATGGAAACAATGAATAGATTCAGTGGCAATGAAATACATGCAGCATAATTGTAAAACAATGACATTTTTAAAATAGGAAGAACAGGAAAGTGTCCGCACTATATTTCTTTATTTCTCTTGTATAAACAAAAATCATGCATACCGAAATTTCACTGCTTTAACAAAACAAGGGAAATGGCCTGCATTAGGCAATTCGATATGAAGAAAAATTGAGGTTGGGACATTATTTATAGCCAGGATGGCCCATAAGCAGGCCCCTCAAAGTAAAATCCTCTGAATATATATATATTCAGCATTTTGAAGTGAATATTGACTAAGAATCATCAGAAGAATTATTTACTATAATTTGTACCAAGATCGATAACTTTAAAGGTATTACAAAGTTTTGGTATGGGGTCATGAATTTGGTTCAAATTAACATATTGGAAGCACATGCGTTCCTACAATATTCATTGATCGTTGTCGCGGTTGAAATTGAGTCTAAAGTTATGAAATAATAAATAATAAACTCTTTATGTTGTATAGCTCCCTCTCAAGGTCAAGATATTAATTTAGCTATGAAACAATGTTTCTTGACTAAAATCGACCGATTAGCTATTTCCGTTTGGAAATTATATATCACAACTACATATTCTGAGATTTTCATGGTCGCAGCTACCATTGTACGGCCATAGGCGCTATTTGAAATTCATCAAAATTTACCGGGAGCACCGGTAAATTTTTATATTTAATTTTTCTCGAAAACAGAAGTGTTTTAGGGGCTAATTTTTTTAGTGCTTATAATTCATCCCCAGGGGCATCCAAATATATCAAAATTGTAAAGATTCACTATCCACCCAATTTTCAACATTTCCCAAAACTTTGTATTACCTTTAATAGAATATGAACAAATAACAGAAATTGGTTTATTAATTCTCATATTAAGTTGTGAAACATCATCCAAGTCTACTGACCTAAAAATGACCTTTGACCTTGACTTTGTGGCCTGGAATATGTGTCATAGGAGTTGTGATATTTGATAACCCTTATGTACAGGCGCGGACGCAGGGGGGGGGGGTTTGAGGGTTAAACCCCCCCCCCTTTTGTGAACTTTTTTTAATTTTTTTTTTTTTTTAAATTAATTTAAAAAAATTAAAAAAAAAAAAAAAAAAATATATACCAATTGCTGACCTAAAAAAGATGACCTTACCCCCCCCCCAACGGAGCAAAATGTCAAATTTTCAAATTTCGAGACCAAAAAAAAAAAAAAAGTGTCCTCATACCCCCCCCCCCCCCCCCCCCAACGGAGCAAAATGTCAAATTTTCAAATTTCGAGACCAAAAAAAAAAAAAAGTGTCCTCATACCCCCCCCCCCCCCCAGGTGTATACAGATGTATAAGTTGTGTGTTAAGTTTTGGTAAATGATTTTTTAGTCAGACTATAGTGTCCTTAGAGACACCCGTATTAAGCGCCTAATTAATATTGTGTATTATTATTGTTATTAATTGTTATATCCCTCATGTATAGTTGTTTGCATTGTGATTGTACAAAGCACGAAAAAGGTATAGGTACTATCTACCTGAGATAGTACTTATTGTAAAGTAATTTTTTGTTGCTACCCCACTTGCGCACCCTTGCCCATTGAATACGCATAGCAAAGTAGTTTACGCGAGTCATTGTCAATGTCAAATGAGCGCGCATCGACTGTATTAGATGTATGCATGTTACGCTTTGTAAAATCTAGCTGAAGCTAAACTGTCTGCAGAATCAGTTCTTATTATTATGTAAAATTCACTTTAAATAGACCTTATTATTGCCGATGTGGGATATAAAACAAATATTAACCTCCTTTACTCGGGCAATGGATACAAATTTCATCGCCTCGGGGATCTCGGGGCTACCATAGATAGTAGCCCCGAGATCACCTCGGCGATGATAGTTTTCACCATTACCCTCGTAGTCGATTAATATTTGCTTACTATCAAAAGTTCTTTGACTGAAGTTAGATCACTTATTTTTAGGGTCTATACCTGTTGCCAATGAAAAGGATATTAGTGACCGCCAACCACCGGCGCCCTCTGGTACTTGTGATAGTTGGTCCTGTGTGCGTGTCATGTCATTGAATTAATATTTCTTCTGAATGGTTAAACTTCTACTGTTTAGATCTAGCAAAAATCTGACTTGGACGACAAGCGCACAAATCGTAGGCGTAGCGAAGACTTATACGTCTTATATGCCCGGCTGGAGGCCCAGGACGCGTCTTTTTCTAACCTAGACCAACAATTTCTGTCTCTTTCGTTCGTTAGCCTCTGATTTGGGTAGGGTCGACTACCCAAAATGGCCAAATCAGAGCCCAACGAACGAAAGAGACAGAAATTGTTGGTCTAGGTTAGAAAAAGACGCGTCCTGGCCGGGCATATGACAGGCTAATCTTTTTTAATGCTTATTATAATTACCATACTTCTGCATGACTGTGTTGCATATATCCTGACGTCCAATCTCATTCAGGTCTTCAAACAGTTCCCATGGATCGTCCTCGCCATAACCAAAATCGTTTGGTCTGTTCGACATGTAATCAAGAAAATGGTAGAAATCTTGCTCACATTCTTCTGTATCCTTCTTGGGTAATTGTTTTAAATACACCAAATCCTTTCGATCCTCTTTAGTCAAATTTTTCTTAATATGCAGCAAAATACTCCTGAAAGTGGGCTTTTTCTTAATTTTGAATTCAGCAGCCATCGCGAAAGAAAAATTATACGAAATATTATGTACTGTAAGTAAACTTTTTTCAGGTCCCTTCACTCACGTAGCTGTAGACGGGCGAGTCTAGTAGAGTGTATGTACACGCACCGGTGGTATAGTTGCGCTGCACATAAGGTATGATCGAGGTTACGGACGCCCGATTGCATTCAAAGAGGGGTCAAATTATTAGTCAAGATTTTGTGTGTGGCTTTTTGTTTTTGTTATTAAGAAATCAATTAATTCATCTTATTGACTTTGCTCTTTATATGATTATGTATAAATAATATCAGTCAAAAATATATAAAATAGCATTAAGTTATCAAAACTGGATTAAGTTTTGAAGGAGTAATCCCCCACTTTTACGAGTGGTATGATCTTGCTTGACAGTGGGGAATCCCCAAAATTTATTTTTGTTCACGTAAAGAGAACAAGGGCTAGCTGCTAGGTTCAAAACGATGAATACATCAGGATGACGTCACTAAAGCTGATGGAATCTTTGCGATGACAATTTTGATTTTCATAATTTATGTGATGGAATAATGGAATTAGCAGTTCAAGTGCATGACATCCATTAGTAGATAAACAGGGGCCACCCTATATCGTTTAAAGCAGTAAGCCTATCCACCAATCAAATATGTCTGCTATTGCTAATGAATGTTATTGTTGGTACTGGTAGAAAGAGGGAGAGACTCTGTTCACAAAGAAAATTTCAAACGTGAGACTTGACATGGTGTTTTCTGGCATAATTAAAATGTTGCTTCCATTTCATATATATATACAACATATATTAGAGACGGCGCTCCGGTGGGGGGGGGGGGCACTGGGGTCACAGTGCCTCCTCCCCACTTTTTAAAGTACCCCAGAAGTGCCCCTTTACATAGGAAAAGTGTCCCTCTAACATTGTAAGAAGTGCCCCCTTTTTACAGAGAAAGTGCCCCTTTAACATTGTAAAAAGTGCCCCTTTCATAGAAAAGTGCCCCCTTTTCTTTGACAAGTGCATCTATTACTTTGTAAAAGTATTCCTTTCCCTTTTCACCTCTGATAAGTGCCCATTTTTTTTTTACACGTCCCCTTTTTCTTCGACAAGGTCCCATTTTTCCATTCTCATAAGTGCCCTTTTTTAATCTCTATAGTAAGTGTCCCTTTTCAGGTACGAGAAGTGTCCCCTGATAATTGCCCTATAAAAATCTGAGAGATGCCCATTTTACTTTGACAATAATTATTGCCCCTTTCCTTTTTAATAACTACCCTTTTTTAAATCGTATAAGCGCACCTTTTATTTTCATATGTGCCCCTTTTCCTTTCTAATGAGTTCCCCTTTTTCCTTATGATTTAAGAGCCTCTTCCCCTTCTCATAAATGCCCCTTTCCACCTATGAAAAGTGTCCCTTTCATATCTGGTCAATGCCCCTTTCACCTCTTATAAATGCATCTATCAACATCTGATGGGTGCCCCTTTTCCGTCGACTCATGCCCATTCTCATAAGTGCCTTTTTTCATCCCTGGCCGGCGACTGCCTCTTTTCAAGTGTAAGAAGTGCTCCATTTTCATAATTTGACATGTGCTCCGTTTTGTGTGTGATAAGTGTGATAAGTGTCCAAACCTCAATTTTTCATCATATCGAATTGCGCAATACAGGCGAGACCGCGAAAAGCGTTTCCCTTGTTTCCTCTTTATAATGTCATTGTCCACGCTCGCTTCGTTCACTCGCAAATGAATATTCAGACCATTCCACCCAACTGCAAAGTATTATACGATGCTTAAGCAATATCTTGTATGATGCATAGAGAGAAACAAATGAAGAAATCATCCCAGATAATGCAATCCCGCCCCCCCCCCCCCCCCCCACACCGGGAATAGAGGGACCGCATTCATGTTCCCAAAATTTCCGGTAAAGGGGTACTTTTCACGCACGCGTCTGGCTCGTAGCACACACAAAATCGGCCTGTATTGACTTTACACACCGGACTTAGGGGGGGGGGGGGGTGTTTCAAAAGGAGGGAACATGCATACGCGTATACCCTATTACCACTGAGTGGTTGGGGGGATGCAATCACAATGTAGGGGTTTATAACAATGTCTGAGAAATGTATATTTTTTTGTTGAGATTTCCCGTTGTAATGTGCTTTCTTTTGTCCAGAAAGTTTTTTTGTTTTGTTGGTGCCCCCACTTTGGAAGTCGCTCCGCCGCCCCTGAAAGACATTGTTCTCTCTCTCTCTCTCTCTCTCTCTCTCTCTCTCTCTTCTACTCTCTACCAGCACAAGCAAAGACTTGCCTCATAGCTGCAAGGAAGAGGCACTATATGAAATACTTAATGGATTGCATGGGATAGAATAATTATTAAAGAGAATGAACCCCAACATGTAATGGGATATGAGAGGGAGAGAGCGAGGGAGGGAGGGAGAGAGAGAGAGAGGGAGAGAGAGAGAGAGAGAGATACTGAGATAGATAGGCTGAAGCAGAGGGGAAAGGAAGAAATTAGATGAATGAGGAGGTAGGTAGAGAGAAAGAGGGAGTGAGAGAGAGAGAGAGAGATGGGAGCAGTATATTTTAAATGACTGTCAATACTCCTCTCCTCTGAAGCAGAGGTCACCCGCCAGTCGGGTCAATGCTTTTGGGATTCCCCAAAACTGCGCATGCGTACATGGGCTCTCAAATTCAGACCTGTTTTTGAGGATTTATGAATTTAGAATGAACATTTAGTGTGATGAGGTATTAACCTGTATTGTTCTGTTCTGTGTGCCAAAATGTATCCCTAAATTGTCTAATATTGCAAGCTGGAGGATGATTCTAGAGTAATACTTTGGAAACATAAAGCTTAAAAGCGTCTGATTTTAAAGACAAGTTTGGGGGATTCCCAGCATTCCGTATAGCAGATTCAGTTAGTAATCTGTGCTCTGCAGTGCGGAAAACTGCGATCAATTGCGAAATAGTTGGTGCAAGGCGACGATTTCGAATTCAACACTGTTCATTTGCTGCGTTTTGCTCATATCTTCAATAACCCTCTTTGTTCGATCGATCGATCAATCGAGAGAGAGAGAGAGAGAGAGAGAGAGAGAGCAGTATTTCTACAGATAAACAGGATCTTCTTCTGAGATTCATTTTCTGGTCTTACTCTTGCATTCTGCGACCTGAATAAACCTCTCTCTTGTTTCAGCCTGAAGATTCTACATAACAGCATTGCCAGGTAAGATTATATCAAATTTAATATTTCACCTAGCCATTGCATAGATCCATCAAATAACATCATATCTGCATGCAATTTTTATATTTTTTTGTTATCTCTGCTCCACATTTAATTAAATTGAGTTGGACTGTGACGTTTATTTCCGCCTCGTGATCGGCAATACAAGGTTGACAGAGTTTTTTAAATAAATATCTTCAATGTTAAGGTTCTACAATTGTTGAGAGTATTATATCATAATGTAGTCCCTGCTCATGGTTGTAAGATTTTTCAATTCTTATTTGTTATTACAATGTTTTGTATCATTATTATTTTATTATAAGCGTTATAATATAGATCTACATAACCAAATAATAATATGTATATATATATATTGTTTTGTTTTGTTGGGGGGGGGGGGGAGTAGTATATATACAGCCATGGAGAACGACAAATTGAATATAAATAAAATACATGTAGGTTCAATTATGCCGACATATTGAGTGTGCCAATGAGTTTCATTATTTGGTTGGGGAATTCCTTAATTGGCTACGCCTACACACATGCATGTGTTTATATAATTGTATGGGTCAATACAGTTGACTAAATCGCACGATCGAGAATGTTCAATCCCACCACATACTATACGATCCTACTGCGACCTGATCTTCAAAGAAATGGCAATCGTATCAGATAAGGAAATCTAAACAAGCATCATGTTACGTATCGAGTTGTGTTTTACGTCATTGCTTGCACGTATATGCATTGTTGAGACTTTGCACTAGTAAACATGGCGTTAATGGAAGTCAACATTATGATGATCTATTAATGTGTCCTGCTGACTGCGTCTTTGCACCAACCCACATACGTATACATAACAATGTTGGCGACGTACTTGTCTATCATCTTCTAACTATATTATGGTGAACGTGGACAAAGCAATTGTGGAAATCAGGGGAGGATCTAGCTTTTTGCCAAGGGGGGGGGGGGGGGGGGGGGGGGGGAGTGACTTTTAAAAAAAAAATTCTTGGGGGTGCTATTTTGAACCCCCATGAGTGATGTTTTCTGGCATCTACTTATATCATAGAGATAGTAGTATATAGCTCTATGACTAATATCTACTCATACTGTGTGGGTATGGACATATGATGGCGTTTTCTATGCACATCAAATTTCAAATGGTAGATCCGCCCCTGGAAATCACCTTCCCTCTAAGCCAGGTTGTCTTGCTGTCAAATTCTTTTCATAGCTACGAGTAGGACTAGAGATGTCATTACATTGACAGGCTCACAATCACTATGATGAGCAATCCAATCAGAATCCATAATCATCCATTTTTTTTCCCAGTGTCTCATGCAAAACAATTCAATCCAGTCGTTCCATAATCTAATCCGTTCCTCGTCGCCAAAATTGTTATGCTTTAAATATGTGGGTTTGTTGCAAAGACGCAGTAAGCAGGACACATTTAAACAAAGTTACCATCATACTGTTGACTTCCAATGTTTTATGCCAAGTCTCAACTCTGCGCATGCGTACACGCAATGCTCAATACAATGATGTCTTAACACATCACTCTCGTGATGTAAGTTCTAAATTATGATAAGAATACCAACAATCTGAATTTTAGTGCATAATCTACCTCTTCTATAGTCAGAATAAAAGCCATTGAATCGTATACAATCGCACGACTGGTGTGACAAAACTGACATCACGATTTTTTTCTTTTTCTAAGGAAGCTTGAAACGCCTTGGAATTTCAATATCATTAACTCTATGGCTGTGACCATTCAGATCATCCGACGGTCATTTAGATTTTACATTTGAATATTCTTATGAAATGCTATAGCAAATTATTCCAAAATCTGATCGTTGTCAGATTATCGT